CAGCATCCTTTCCCCCACCCCTTCAGTTGTTTTATACATTGGTAATACAGATTAGATTCCTTGTCACATTCTGTATTCTATCCTGGGATCTCTTGATCTCCTCAATGATTTTTTTAAATTTGCATGCATTAAATTCACTCTATGTGCTGTAAAATTCTATAGGTCTGGACAAATACATAGTATAATGTATCCACCATATTACTATCATATAGAATAGTTTTACCATGCTATGCTAAAAAAAGTCCCCTGTTCTTGCTGTACTTATTCAATCCCCTTACCCCAGCCTCTTCCCCCCAGGCTCTGGCAACTGCTGATCTTACTATTTCTACTGTTTTGCCTTTTCCAGAATGTTGTATAATTACAATCATATAGTAAGTAGACTTTTCAGACTCACTTTTCTTCACTCATCAATATGCATTTAAGTTTCATTCATGTCTCTTTGTGGCTTGATTTCCCTTTTTTTTTTTTTTAAGATTTTATTTATTTGAGAGACAGAGAAAGAGCACAGGTGGGAGGAGGGGAGCAGAGGGAGAGGGAGAAGCAGACTCCCTGCTGAGCAGGGAGCTGGCCATGGGGCTTGATCCCAGGACCCCAAGATCATGATCCAAGCTGAAGGCAGATGCTTAACCGACTGAGCCACCCAGGCGCCCCATTTTCCCATTTCTTTTGATTGTTATTTTTATTTATACCATATTTCATTATATATATATATATATATATATCAGAATTTGTATCCATTCACCCATTAAAGAATATCTTGGTTGCTTCCAGTTTTTGGTAATTATGAATAAAGTTGTTATTAACTTTTACATGCCGATTTTTGTGTGGACTTCCAGTTGGGTAAATAGCTAGGAGTATGATTGTAGAATCTGATAGTAAGATTACGTTTTGCTTTGTAAGAAACTACCAAACCGTCTTCCCAAGTGACTGTCCTGTATTGCATTCCCACCAACAATGAATGGCAGTTCCTGTTGACCTGCATACTCACCAGCATTTGATGTCGTCGGTGTTTTGAATTTTGACCATTCTTTCATTCGTTTATTTGTTTATATTTTATTATATTTATCATTTTTTTTTTTAGAGAGGGAAAGTGTGTTGTGCACGTGGTAGGGGGAGGAGCAGAGGGAGAGGAAGAGAGAGAATCCCAAGCAGGCTCCATGCACAGCATAGAGCACAGCACAAGGCTCAATCTCATGACCCTGAGATCATGACCTGAGCCAAAATCAAGAGTCTAAAGCTTAACTGACTGAGCCACCCAGACACCCCTTTTAAAAATATTTTAAAATTTTATTTATTTATTTATTTATTTATTTATTTATTTATTTATTAAAGTAGGCTCCATGTTCAGTGTCAAACCAATGACATTTGAATTCACAACCCTGAGATCAAGACCTGAGCTGAGATCAAGAGTTGGATGCCCAACCAACTGAGCCACACACATGCTCCGATTTTGACTATTCTAATAAGTGTGTAGTGGTATCATTGTTGTTTTAATTTGCAATTTCCTAATGACATATGATATGGAGCATCTTTTCATATGCTTATTTGCCATTTATTTATCATCTTTGATGAGGTGTGTTGCCCATTTTTTTAAATGGGTTGCTTGTTTTCTTGTTGAGTTTTAAGAGTTCTTTGTATATATATATTTTAAAGAATTTATTTATTTGAGAGGGAGACAGAGATAGTGAGCACAAGCAGGGTGGGGGGAAAGGGGGGAAGGGGAGGGGCAGACTACCCAACGAGCAGGGAGCCCGATGTGGGGCTCGATCCCAGGACCCTGGGATCATGACCTGAGCCGAAGGCAGACACTTAACCAACTGAGCCACCCAGGCGCCCCTCTTTGTATATTTTCGATAACAGTTTTTTATCATGTCTTTTGCAAATATTTTCTCCCAGTCGGTGGCTTGTCTTCTCATTTTTTAAAAGATTTTATTTATTTATTTGACAGAGAGAGACAGAGAGAGAGCACACAAGCAGGGGGAGTGGCAGGCAGAGGGAGAGGGAGAAGCAGGCTTCCCACCAATGGGAAGCCCGATGAGGGGCTCAATCCCTGGATCCTGGAATCATGTCCTGACCCGAAGGAAGGCAGATGCTTAACCGACTGAGCCACCCCTATACAGGCGCCCCTTGTCTTCTCATTTTTGACTGTGTCCTCAGCAGAGCAGAAGTTTTTAATTTTTTTAGAAGTTTTTAATTTTAATGAAGCTCAGCTTATCAATTCTTTCTTTTTTTTTTTTTTTAAGATTTTATTTATTTATTTGACAGAGAGAGAGAGAGCACAAGCGGGGGGAGCGGCAGGCAGAGGGAGAAGGAGAAGCAGACTCCCCGCTGAGCAGGGAGCCCGATGCGGGGCTCGATCCCAGGACCCTGGGATCATGACCTGAGCCGAAGGCAGACGCTTAATGACTGAGCCACCCAGGTGCCCCAAGAGCTACCATTTCCTTCTGCCACATACTAAGATGGTTTTTCAAGCCCATTTCTTGTAAATTGGGACTGTAATACCACACTCATAGGTTTCTCATTAGGATCAGAAGAGGATGCTTATGAAATGCTTAGAACAGTGGCTGGCATATGGTTCGAGCTCATTCCATTTCAGCACTTATTAATGACTAACTATCAAAATCCAGGAAAGAGGGCGCCTGGGTGGCTCAGTCGGTTAAGCCTCTGCCTTCAGCTCAGGTCATGATCCCAGGGTCCTGGGATTAAGTCCCACATCGGGCTCCCTGCTCAGCAGGGAGTCTGCTTCTTTCTCTGACCCTACCCCCTCTCGTGCTCTCTCTCTGAAATAAATAAATAAAATCTTAAAAAATAATAAAACCTTTAAAAGAAAATCCAGGAAAGAAGGCTATAGGGAAGAGTTAAATATCCACTTAGTGAGTTTCCAATTTCTAAAGGTCTGGATTCCAGCTTAGTAAGAGAAAAGAGTCTTACACATGACACGAGACTAATAGACTATCTTAATCCATGCAGTGCTGGGACACAGCAGTCTGAGTAATCCTGCTTGACAGCCTTTCCTTCTTTCCCCTGAACCTCCCTCCATCCTCAAAGGCTGGTTGTCCTGACCAGGACCCCTGGAGGGAACACACTGGATCCCTGCTGGCGGGTGCCAAGAGAACTTCTCAGACAGATCCTTGGAACTGTTTTGAATCTATAGGCTCCTTTATGGAGCAGAGCAACTGTGGGGGTCTGACCACATAAACAGAAAGGTTATTAAAGCATTTGGCTAAAAGCTGGGGGGTTAGGTGAATGTAAACCAAGCAGTGCTTTGATAGACTCAGCACATTGCAGGCCTGAGTGAAAGGGGTCAACTTCAGATCTGGATAGCAAAGTGGACTCAGAGTCCTGTTCCCTTGGAAACCACAGAGATAGGTGTGTAATGTTGAGTCCAGAAACTTCTGACCTCAGGCTGCTTCTCTGTGTTCAAGTAACTTAGCTCCTCCAGGCATGTTTCTTTCTTACAATTATGATTTAAAACAGCAAATTTATGATATTGGGGGGGGGAAGAAATCTCAGTAAAATGTAATAGTCACTCAAAGAACATGATTATTGGGACACTTCACAGCTGTAACATGACCTTGGGAAAAGTAATGTTTCCTGTTAACATTGCAGCTGACTTCATCAGTACCTCTCCTGATGCATGGACAGGCAGACTTTCACTTGTTCATTCCACACTAATTTTCACTTTCTTAGTATAGACTCCTAAATAGAAATCCTGAACCAAACATTTTAGTCATCTTTCCTTTTTACTTTTCCTGACAGTATCACCTAACACAGCCCACCTTTGCCCCCAGTCATTCTGTTCCTGATAGCTATGGGAAATGCACCTCTTTCCTGGTGGGTCACCACAGTACGTTTGAGTCCATGGGAATCAGAGGTGACCCTGCTGAAGGAAGCTGCTTCTCCCCAGAGGCTGGGGGATGGGGAGCTCCTCCACCATGTTCACCTTCTCCAGGCTGCCCTCCTGGAGGCGGCAGGAACCAGAATCACCACCACCTGCCACAGAGGGTTGGGGGGGGCCAAAGCAGTCCTGTTCTGGATCAAGGCAGTTCCATTGCATACAAATTGCTGGGGCTCCCCTGGAGGTCTGAACCTGAGAATCTGCAGAAATTGGGCCCAGCTGGCCTCCCTAATTCCCCAGAACCTCACCCCATGGGCCACACCTCGCCTTCTTGAGCCAGACAATCTAATTGTAACTTGTAAAGTACTTCCGTAAACAGATGCATATATCTGTATTTGTCAATGGGAAGAGTTTGACTTGTGGTAAATCAGGCACAAAACCAGATTATCTTGAAGGAATGAACCTTGGCAATTAGCCACAACATGACTGCAATAAAAATCTCATTGGGGAAATGATTAGAGGTGTTTTGTTTTTTTTTTAAGATTTTATTTATTCATTTGAGACACAGAGTTAGAGAGCATGAGCAGGGGGAGAGGCAGAGGCAGAGGGAGAGGAAGAAGCAGACTCCCCGCTGAGCCAGGAGCCCGACGTGGGGCTCGATCCCAGGACCCTGGGATCACGACCTGAGCCGAAGGCAGACGCTTAACCATCTGAGCCACCCAGGCGCCCCAATTAGAGGTGTTTTAAGATGACAACATTTTCACAGGTTGAGCTGGAAGGGAGCTTGGTTAGAATGATCTTGTCCAACCCTCTCATCTCACACAGGAGAAACTATTTCAAACTCAGAGAGGTTAAGTGACCTGGACAAGGTCACACAGCACCGCCATGCTTAACTCTTGGACATTGAGTTTCCTGTGAGGTCAGGCAGAGGAGGAATCCTTTGTTCTCTCTTCTTACAGAGATTTTTTTTTAAAGATTACTTTCCTAGTCCTAACAAGTAGCCCCACTTCCCAGGACTTTGTGTCTCAAATGATTAAATCCTGTTCCTTCTTTGCTTTGTCTCCAGGAGGCCTCCCGCTTTCTGGTTGGTTGGGAAAACTGGCCAGGGTCCAACCCCTCCCAACCCCAACGCCCAGGGGGCTGGCCAAGGACTGCTGACGCCAGCAGTCGCTCACGTGACCACCACAGCTCTCAGTTCCGCTCCCTGTCCCAGACCTCTGGGTGGGCACTTCCAGGGACTCCTTCTGTTGGGGGGGCACCAGGTAGGCACCCCTACCCTGCCTGTCCACCGCTGGAACAGTGAGGGGGCGACCACGCAGGCGCAGGTGAACAGACGTGGGCAGATCAGATGTCAGGCCCTCTGTGCCTGCCCAGCGCTCTGTAGGCAGCGGGGACTGAATGTGGCCGGCCTCAAGACGTCTCACAGCATTCCTATTTGTCCGCCCCACCCCCGGCTCCCTTCCTCCCGGAAAACGACTCTGCCCTTCCTTCCTCTGTTCTTTGGCCTTGCTTTCACCTCAGCTACAGATCTTTTTCCCCTTCCTCTCTGCTGATTTAGCAGCATCCTGCTGGGGGCGTGGAGGGATTAATCAGTGACAGGAAGCTGCCTCTTTCAGAGCAGTGACCAGCTGTGCAAGACCAGCCCTAGGAGTCTGTGGTGCTTCCTGCCCGCTGCTCACCCATCCGCTCCTGCCATGGGGCACCTTGGGGCCCTCCTCTTCCTCCTTGGGGGCCTGGGGGCTCTCGCTGATATATGCGGTGAGTAACCAGATCTACCCTGTGCCTCTTTCCTCCTGGGGCCTTACGGGGGAGGACTGTCTTGTCCAAACCCCTCATTATGTAGCTGGAGAAACTGAGGCTCGAATGTTTGGGAGGGTACGATTTATCTGCCCCTTTGGACTTCCACAGCAGCTGGGACTTAGCTGGACCTCAGTGTTTGACACACTGTGTTGAGATTGACCCTGAGTTGACCCTCGAACAAGGTGGGTTAGGGCTGCCGGCCTTCCATACAGTCCAAAATCCATCTATAACTTTTGACTCCCCAGAAACTTAACTACTAATAGCCTACTGTTGACTGGAAGCCTTACTAATAAGATAAACAACACATATTTTGTATGTTATATGTATTATATACTGTATTCTTATGATAAAGTCAGCTAAAAAAAAGAAAATGTTATTGAGGAAATCACAAAGAAAAGAAAATAGATTTGGGACACCTGGGTGGATCAGTCTGTTCAGTGTCTGCCTTCGGCTCAGGTCATGATCCCCGGGTCCTGGGATCCAGCCCCGGAGCCTGGCGTCCGGGGAGAAGCAGGGAGTCTGCTTCTCCCTCTGCCCCTCGCCCTGCTTGTGCTCTCTCTCAAATAAATAAATAAAATCTTAAAAAAAACATAGATTTAAAGTATTGTACTATATCAAGAAAAATTCACATATAAGCGGACCCACGTAGTTCGAACACACGTTGTTCAAGGGTCAACTGTATACATCTGACAGGCCACCAGACAGAAATGCTCCCATTAATCCAGTCATGGATTTATTTACTCATTCAACATGCATTGACTGAGGCTTCTCTGAGCCAGTGCAGTGTTGGGCTTTGGGCAAAGAACAAAGAGAAGACCGGTCCCATCCCTGTCCTCCGAATGCATCTGTTATAGTAAAGGGGACAGACAAAAAAGTCAAGACGCAAATCAGTGCTGTGTTTGGGGGCTGCAGGGAGTGCCAAAGGAAGCGAACCAGGCACGGAGGTAGAGAGCTGGGGGCCACTCTCCACAGGGAGAGAGTTCAGGGAAGGATTTCCAAGGACCAGGCATGACAGGGGGATTGAGACCCAGAGGAGGAAAAGGAGCTGACATGAAAAGGAGTGGGGGGCATCCCAGGCAGAGGGAAGTGAGTACGCGGGCACCCTTAACGGAGACGAGACGAGTCTGAGAGAAGCGTAGGTGGCAGGTCATGGCAAGGCATTTGTGGTATACTGCACGCACAGGAGCCTGGCTGCTTCGGCTCTGTGTCCCAGTGTCCCCAGGGGCCTCTTGGGACCGGTCTTGGAGTCTGAATGCAGCCTGGGGCTATTTGTGCACTGGAGATAGGCAGAAAGCAGGAGGCAGGCAGGGAAGCCTCTGTGCTCTGGGATTACCCACCTCTCTTCCCTCCTTGTATGGTCTCTTGTTATCTTTGGACAAACTGAGAGGCAGGTTCAGGTGACAGATGAGTCAGTCAAAGGTTGGAGAAGCCAGGTGACCTGCCAAGGCACTCCAGCTTTCCAGGGCTTTGCTGGACTCAGTTCTCAGAACTCCGGGCCACGGTCTTCCCTGGGCACCAGGAGCTTCCAACCTGTGTTCCATAAGTGCAACCAGACCCCTCAGCCCTTGGCTCTTGGTTCCCGTCCAGACAGTCCCCAGGGGAGACCTGGGACCCAGACCTCACTGGGCATGAACCATTCAGTAGTTGGCCCATAGACCCGACAGAAGCCCTGGATCAGGTTTGGGGGTGCAGCCCCCTACAGCTGAGCCACTTAGCTGCTCAGGCCTCATTCCCTCCACTGCAAAATGGGCTAAGAATTCTTCCCTGCCTTCCTCCTTGGTGTGGTGCGGAGGATCCCACCGCTCAAACTTTACCAGCTCGAAGCTCTGTGTGGTTGTAAAATTGACAAGAATGCTGCACTAATGCTTTTGCCCAGGGTGGGCTCCTGTGCTTGGGAATGTCAAGGCCGGTCAGCTGGCAGAGCTGCGTGGCCCTGTGAGCAAGAGGCCCCATGGGAGGGAGCTCGCCCTGGGCCACTTTTATGACCAAGGTGAATTTGCCCGGCTCCTTCCTTTTAAGGAGGCTGAATTGTGGTTATGAGCCTCTCTTTATAGCTCTGGCTCTTCTTCTTATCACTTCTAATCCCAGGGCTGACTCACCTGCTAGAGGGCAGAGCCTGGGGTTGGGGTGAGGCTCCCCTACCAGTTTGAAGGAAAGGGAGAGGGAAAGAGAGGTACAGGGGGACAGATGACCAGAAGGATAGGCTGAAAGAGGTAGAGACTGAGACATACAGAGAGGGGGAAATGCCTATAGAAATGGGAGGCAGCCCCAGAAAGGCACTGAGGATGTGAAAGGAAAAGAAAAGCAACCCCTGTCCCCGACCCCCACCCCCTCTAGCCCCTTTAGCAACAGATACCTGTGACTTTTGGGAAAACGGGCATAAGATGGTGAGACCTATAGGGGCGCCTGGCTGGCTCAGTCTGCAGAGCATGCCGACTCTAGATCTCAGGGTCATGAGTTTGAACCCCACATTGGGCATAGAGATTACTTACAAAAAAAAAAAAAAAATGATGGTGGGACCCAAACCAAGAGGGATGGGCCTGTTACGAGAGGAACCCTGGTCCTTGAGCAGGTGAAGAGCTCTAGCGGCAGTTCCTGGGCTCAGTTCCCTGGGAGGGGCAGCCTGCCCAGCATCCTGGGACGAGGCACAGCCACAGTGGAGGCAGCTGGAGCCCTGCAGATAACTGGGAGGCAGTAAATGGGGGAGAGTCCAAAGTGCCTCCCAGGCCACCCACTGAGCTCAGGTTCCTTCCCTAAAGGAAGCAGGCAGGGTCAGCTGGGGCTGGGAAATGCCCCTGAGACTTCAGCTTCCCCAGTTTTTCAGCATTTTCATGATTCAGGCAAACCCCAAAGCACACAGAGAAATGGTTGCCAACGATGATGGCTTTTTACGGATGCACCCTTCAGTCTCCTCTTCACCTACAAAGATGTGGCAAAAAAAGCTTTATTTTGAGATCTGCACAGAGGAAGCTCACCAGACAGCCCCAGTTAGCCATGGGCAGCCTACAGTGGGGTTTGTTTGTTTGTTTTGTTTTTTAAAGATTTATTTTACTTATTTTAGAGAGAGTTGGGGGAGAGGCAGAGGGAGAGAGAGAATCCTCAAGCAGACTCCCTGCTGAGTGGGGACAATCCCCACCCCCCACCCCCAGTGCGGGGCTCGATCCCAGGATCCTGAGATGATGACCTGAGCCGAAGGCAGAAACTTAACAGACTGAGCCACCCAGGTGTCCCAGCCTGCAGTATTTTAAAATTGGGTGTGTAACACGTTCTGTGTGGGTTGCAGTCTTGGTACATGGATTCGGCAGAGCACCAAAGAACAGGGGCTTTGCAGGCAGGTTCATCCCTGGCTCTGCAGCCTGTGGAAGACACAACATGACTTTGAACGTCTGCTTCCTCTTTTGCACAAGGCAGTGATGACAGTATCGATGCCACAGGGCTGGCGTGAGGGCCAGGTGAGGTCAGGTGCAGTGCCTGGGGCACATTGCGAGGCTGAGCTCCACTCTCTGTTACTCCTGGCGGCAGAGTGGTCGCCTGGTACTGGCTTCCTCTGCCCTCGGCCCACCACCTCTCCCTAGCCCACTCCAACTGCTCTTTTGGGATACCTGCTTTCCCCTATTCACCTGCCGCCTTTCATTACAGCCTTACTTTCCCATACAAGTAGGATATGTGCTAGGTGGAGACGGAGTAGAGATGTTTATTCCCTGGAGAAGGCTCCGGTAAGGTAAAAGCAGTTCCTTGCTGGTGGCCTGGCTCTGCAACCTCACTTGACCTATTGTTCTCTTTCCTAAGAAATACCAGAGGTGGATAGCAAGCTGGTGGAGAGGCTCGGCCAGCGCCTCTTGCCCTGGATGGACTGGCTCTCCGTGGAGTACCTGAACCCCAGTATCTACGTGGGCCTACGCCTCTCCAGCCTGCAGGCCGGGGCCAGGGAGGCCTTCTATCTGCACATCCTCAAGCTCAACTACCAGCAGAGCGTCCTGGGGTATCGCTGTTCACTTTCTTCTCCTTTCTCTATGTCTTGCTCTACCTCCTAAGGGAAAGGAGACCTGTGTTCTGGTTTGGGCTGCCACTGCTTTGTTGGGGAGACTTTGGGCAAGTTTTGTCTCCTTTGGCACTTTCTCCATCTGTAGAATGGGGTTGGCTTGACTAGACTGGAGGCAGATATCACTGATCCATGATCACAGTCTACGCACCCCCCCCCCCACTACTGAGCCCAGAAGCAGCATCTAGCAGCATCTAACTTTGTGCTCCCTTTCCAGGGGGCATTAAGGGGAGGCCTGTTCTGAGGCTCAGTGTGGGAGTTTGAATGAGAGGTAAAGGATCAGGACCACCCTGAAGCATCTCCTGCTTGGACTCCCTCTCAAGAAGCAGACACAGAGCAGGGAAAGGGAAGAAAGGGAGGGCTGTGTGGACAAAGGGTGATCAAAATCGTGGGGGCAAGCATAGGTCACGGACGTCAGAGCCCTTGGGACTTGTCCTTGAGTCTAATTTTTTTATCTTTATGAAATATGTATGGCATGCACCTTACAACATGCAGAGCTGACTCATCTACTTTTGGTAGTTCTAGCAAAGTTTCTAATTATTAGGATTCTTTTCACTTTATGATGTTGGGGGGAGGTGTCCCAACCCAGGCTTACCAAAGGTGGCATTTTCTTACAGAAGTGTTGTTTACTGGCTTTGTCCTAGGCTTGCCATCAATGATGACAACAGTAACAACCAGGCCAAGCCCTCCATGGGTCAGGTGGCCCTCTACCTGCTGGCTCTCAGGGGTAACTGTGAGTTTGTTGGAGGCCACAAGGGGGACAGGCTGGTCTCACAGCTGAAGCGGTTCCTGGAGGACGAGAAGAGGGCCATTGGTGAGAGGACATGGTCTGCCAAGTGTGGGGGGGCCCTCATCAGATAACATTCTCTGGGGAAGCATCTAAGTCAGAACTTTGGGTTTTTTCCCCCCAGGCTTCTTTCCCACCCTCCACTCTGCCTGTCTCACTACCCACCTAGAGGCTTGGGCCTGCTGCAGTCACCATCCTTGACCAAGCCTTTCCTGTACCCCACATGCACTCTGTTGGCAAGTTCTGCTCAGCCACCACGACTGAACTGACTGTCTACCTCTGGGACAACTGCATGGCCTCCATACTGCTTACTCCTCAGCCTCTCTCTGCTAACTCTCCTGCTGCCTGATTTGACCCAGCACATGACAGCCAGGGCAAGCATTTGAAATCTAAATTTGATCTGGTTAGCCCTGCTCAAACCCTGCACAGGCTACTCACTGCTGTGTCCACAGCCCCTCAGCCTCGTCTGTCTGCCCCTTTCTCCTCTTCAGGACCTGCTGGCCCACTCCCTGGCTCACCCATGCACCTGCCTTTCTGGCTCTGGCCACGCTGATTTCTCAGCTTGCAGATCAGGGTCTTCGTATATGTTCTCTCTATCTGGAAGGTTTCCTTCCCCTTCTAGCTTCCTGCTCCCCCTTAGCTCCTCCTCACCCCCACCTCCCCAGTATCACTGCCTTTTAGAGAATCCTGCCCTGATTCCCAGCTACTCAAAGACCTCTACTCTTTGGCCCCAGAGACCTTGGTCCACATTTCAGTTCTAATCATGCTGACGTGGGTGCAGGTTGTGTTACTGTTGGAGGGCTGGCCGATCACCACTCTGAGCACAGTACCTGACACGGAGTGGATCCTCAGCAAGAATGGGTTGAGGGAATGAAGGAATGAAGGATCCCATGACCCAGAGGAGGGTGTTGGGAAGTGTGGGCAGTGGGGTCCCATGTGCTGACTGGTCTGGTTGCTGGGAGGGGGGCAGAGAGGCAACCCCTCAGGCCCAGCATGAAGCCCCTGCCCCATGGTCTTCTTCCTCCCAGGGTCCAGTCACAAGGGCCAGCCCCTCACCAGCTACTACCAGTATGGCCTGGGCATCCTGGCCCTGTGTGTCCACCAGAAGCGGCTCCATGACAGCGTGGTGGGCAAGCTCCTGTACGCCGTGGAACACGACCAACATCTGCCCCGGGGCCCCCTCTCTGTGGGTGAGTGGGCGAGGCCCTGCGAAAGCCAGGCTGGCACTCCGCCAGTCCCCAGCTCCAACTGAAGGCCTCCACCCCCTGCCCCATGCTCACCTTTCCTTGGGACCCCTTCCTTATGAATTCCTTAGGAGTGAAATGGTGAGGGCTCGTGTGTGGGGTATGGTGGTCGTGAGCCAGTGTTGAAGCAGGCCTGGGACCCTGACCCCAGCTCTGTCACACAATTATTGTAGGCTACCCTGGGCAAGTCAGCTGGTCTTTTTGGCTCAGCTTCTGCTGTAAAATAACCTCCCAGCAGTATCTTGATAGAAGATACCTTATAAGTCAAGGGCTTGTCATGGTGCCTGGCATGGAGAAAGTTCTGGATACAAAGCTATGGTCTTGTCCTCATATGAGCTGGGAAGCCTGAGACCTGGATTCTGGAGCTGCTACCTCACTGTGTTACCTTGGGCCTCCAGTGCTCTTTCTTGTCGTCGTGATTCAGGGTCTCTTGTAGGTGGGCGTTCTGTGAGAGTGTGCCTCGCCTAGGGTGGGGGTAGGATGGGGTAGGTTGGGAGGGTGAGGAGATACTGCAGAGAGCTTGCTCTTGCCTGAGGCTTGTAGAAAAACCACTGTGGGCCCAGTAAATCACCTCTGGGCGGGGGCAGGGGCTGGTGGGGTTTAAAGCCTGAAGGGCCCAGGCAGCACCCTGGACCTATGATATCAGATCACCTTGGGGTGGACCCAGCTATCCGTCTGTTCCAAACTTCCCTGGTGATTATAAAGTGCAGGCAGATTTGGGAATGAGGGGTGTAGGATAAAGCCTCTTGGGCCTCCCTCCTCCAGGCTCTCTCCCTAATCTCTAACTCCTAAACAGTAGACAGGGGAAGGGTGACCAACCATTGTTTGCCTGGAACTAAGGGGCTTCCCAGGACAGCAGACTTACAGTGGCCAAACTGGGAAAGTTCTGGACAAACTGGGCTGAGTTGGTCCCCCTTGCTGGTGAAAACGTTCTAAAATGCTGATCTGACCATGCCCCTTCTTCAAGCCTCTGGTGGCAGCCCATTGCCCCAGGGCCCTGCCTAGACTGACCCCAATTGGCTCTGTCCCTTGCAGACACAGTGGCCATGGCGGGCTTGGCCTTCACCTGTCTGGAGCGCTCCAACCTCAACCCCAATCAGGGACACCGGATCACCCTGGCCATTAGGACAGTACAAGAGAAAATCCTGAAGGCCCAGACCCCTGAAGGCCACTTTGGGAATGTTTACAGCACACCTCTGGCGCTGCAGGTAGTAAAGAGAGCATGGGGCCAGAGTTCACCCCGGTGTTCGGTGGGCGGTGGCCTGGTCAGGGGCTGGAAGACCTGGCTCCTCCATGCCAGCCGACCCACCTCCTCCTTCTCTTCCCCATTCTGTCACCAGTTACTGATGAACTCCTTCATGCCTGAAAAGAAGCTGGGCACAGCATGCCTCAAGGCAAGAGCTGCTCTGTTGGCCAGTATGCAGGATGGGGCCTTCAAGAATGTTCTCATCATTTCCCAGCTGCTGCCTGTCCTGAACGGCAAGAGCTATGTGGATCTCATCTCCCCAGACTGCGAGGCACCAAGAGGTAGCTGGGCCTTTCAACGGGAGCCCTCTTCTTTTCAGTCTGCTCAGTGCTTCCTGAAGTCTGCATGTCCCAGGGAAGGGAGGTTGCCTCATCCTGATTTGCTGAGTCAACGGGGGTTTGCGGGTCCATGTGGGACACACTGGCAGTGAAGATGCAGTCAGAGCTTCCAGAAAGCCACGGTGTGGGGAGAGAGATACCAAAGAGAGAGCTCTGGGTGGGCCATGAGTCTGCAGCCCCTTGTGTGATACCCAGTCCAGAAATGTTTGAATGGATGAATGGGGAGAGACACATTTTGGGTAGCGCTGATATATCCTAATGAGTCCCAATTAGCAGCTGGAATCAGGGCTTCATCTGGGAGAAGGACTTGAGTTGGTGAGTGGGATTTTCCAGTGGCGAAGAGCAGTAGCAAGGGCAGGGCAGAGAGTGGGCAGCAGAAACAAAGGTGCTGAGGTGTAAAAGGGTCCTCCCAGGGTCCAATCACAAGGGCCACCCCCGCACCAGCTACTACCAGTATGGCCTGGGCATCCTGGTCCTGTGTGTCCACCAGAAGCGGCTCCATGACAGCGTGGTGGGCAAGCTGAAATTTGGGGGAAGTTTCCTACTAGAGAGTGGGGTCTGGGGGAATGAGCTTTCATTCAAGCAGGAGAATGAAAAGGAGGGGAGACCCTCAGAGGTAATGTGGGCAGGGATTCTAGTTGTAGAAAGAGCCCTCTGGGGTGCTATGTGGCAGATAGGTGGGAAGGGGTACTGGAGGCAAAAAAACCCAGTGAGGGACCCAACCTTGGGCAGCCGGGGGACTTGGGGGGTAAAGGACAGGGGAGGCTGGGATCCTGTGGTGATCCTGGCTGAGATGGGCCACAGCGTCTTCAAGGGAAGAAAGGAGGGCTAACACGGGCCCCCTGCCCTCACACCAGCTACCCCTTCCTCTCTCCCTGGCTTAGTCCTGTTGCAACCAGCTGTGGAGACTCCTTCACAGACCCAAGCGCTCATCAGTGTCATGCTGAAGGTCCCCAGTGTCTTGCCACCATACAGACATGCCATATCTGTCCCTGCTGGGTCCTCCTTGGAAGATGTCCTTAAGAAGGCCCAGGAGCTCACAAGATTCACGTGAGACCCCCACTTCCCAGCCCTCACCCCACCTGACCCGACATCCCTGAAACAGGGTGTGGATGGGATGGGGATGGAAGAGGAGGTTCCCCTGGGAGAGGTGTCTGGCCAGGCTCTGCTTCCTCCTTCTCCACCCCTGAATGGCCCGGGGTATAGTGGAAATTGGGAGCTGTGGGCCAGCATTGTCAGTGGCTCTGAGAACATGCTCTGGGGGCAGAGCATCCGCATTGGAATCCTAGCTCCACCACTCCCCCACTAGGGACCCGGAACCAGTTATTTACCTGTAATCCAGTGAGAACATGAGCTGTGCCCTGCTCCTTGCAGGGTCCATGCAAGGAGTCCGGGAATTAGTGCACAAAGAGGATGTGGCCCCCCATACTTAGTAATCTCAATACAGCTTAGCTTTTTTTTTTTTTTTTTAAGATTTTATTTATTTATTTGACAGAGACACAGCGAGAGAGGGAACACAAGCAGGGGGCGTGGGAGAGGGAGAAGCAGGCTTCGTGTGGAGCAGGGAGCCCGATGCGGGGCTTGATCCCAAGATCCTGGGATCATGACCTGAGCCAAAGGCAGACGCTTAACGACTGAGCCACCCAGGTGCCCCACAGGTTAGCTTATATAAGAATCAGAATTTTTATCATCAGGTGATCTTGGCCTCATTCCTGTGATGAATTACCCTGGGCAAGTCCCCTGTAGAATGTGGAGGTTGGGCAACATCCTTAAACTTGCCTCTCACCCTGACAAGATTCGACAAGTCTGGGGCCAAGCATTTCTGCCCAGCCATGTCCATGCCTAAATAACATGGATGGGATTCTTGTGTTACCAATGGGGAATATGAACCAGAGGAGTTGAGTGCCTTCCACCGGGTCACCCAGACCCCAGACTTTTCTAGAAAGATATGCCTCAGTTTGAGAGAGCCCTAATTTCTGCATCCACCTGGAGTTCCCAAAGGACAGCACCCTGCAGTCAGGGAGGGCCCACAGCTGGTGCCTCGCATTTGTCCAGGTCAGGGAATTTCAGGCCAGAGATATACAAAGACCCCCTTTAAAGAACAAAAATTCTCCCAGACAGACCCCAGGATATTTCTGTTATACTATGACTTAGATGTGTGCTATTATGTTTACTATTAAAAGTTCCTTCTTTTTCTGGCTCCAGACATCTATAAATCCTAAACAACTCTGCAAATAGATATAAAATGTAAAAAGAATAACATTCAAATAAGGACTATTTGCTGAGGAGCAGGTGTACATGGCCAGGCATGGGGTGAGCCCTATGCTCTCAGCTACTTGGGCCTGAGCTACTGTCAACCCTGAGTTTGTCCAGGTAGCTGTGACTTCATAGGCCCTTCCCTGGCCCTGAACACTCCATTCACTACTAAGCCCGCCTCAGCTCTCTTCCCAGTAGCCTGCAGCTTACGGGGGCCCACACAGCCCCAGAGGCCACACACACTGAGCACCTTGGCAGGCCGCCATCCAGCAGACATTGAGAATATGCAGACCCTGCTGGCGTTCATGTCTGAATAACATCATCAAAATGAAAAAAAAATAGTACTTAACGTTCTGATTCAGAACTCCAGGAGACATCAGGGAAACAATTCTGTCAGTGGAGGTGGGTGCCTGAACTGGGTGTGGAGGCCAGGCAGTAAGGTTATATGTCTGGAGGCAGAGAAAGCTGGACTGCAGAAAGAAAGATCCAGAGAGAAAGAGAGGGGAGAGAGAGAAACAGGGAGACGTGCTCTAAGCAGCCACATGGACCCACAGAGTTAGGGATGACAGGGCAATGGGGTCTGCTCCACGACACCCCCTCAAACAACACTTTTCCCTTGGACGAAGTCACCCTGAGTGGTTTTCTGTCTCTTAAAACTATAAAAACCTCCCTCTCTAAGACATAACCATTGATAAGCCTTTTGGAGAGAGGAAGAACATGACCCATGGGCTTTTAAGAGGACCCCTCTGGCAGCCACGTCCACATGGTTTGGAGAAATGCACAGTTGGCGGCAAGGAACTCAGGGAGGGGGTGGTGTGAATAAGGAGTCTCTAGGTCACAAAGGCCAGAAACCTAACTCCAACCCTCTCTGGTAACGGGGGGCATGGGGTGTGTAGAATCGGAGAGAAGACTGAGCCACCCAGCCATAAGAAGAGGGAAGTGTCACTGAGCCACAGAAACTTCCAGACGCAGAGACCCACTGCCACCACCAGGTGTCTCTGTCTCGCACATCTGGGCTTCTCTGCATTCTTGCTTCGCCCTCTCTCATCGGGCACTGGCATCTTATATGTGGTGCTGGTGGCTTCTGCTCCTCACCCCTGCAACGTCAGCTCCCAGAGAGGGGGCAGCTGCTGAGCCAGTCATGTAACAGGTGTCCCTTCCTGTAGGCCATGGTCCGGGTCAGTGTGGAGAGGTGAAGTCCCATGTCAGGGCATGGCAGAAGAGGGACGGTGGTGAATGCCTGTGGCCTGGAAAGGATTTGGCCAGCGCCAGCCCTGAGGGAGAGGCCAGGACTTCCCTGGTGGGGGTAGTTCCGTTTCTGCCCTTGGGTCAATGGAAGCAAAAGTCACTTCTTCTGCCTCTCTCTTTGGTAGGTATGGAACCCAGAACTCCTTGTCAGGACCCTACCTGACCTCCGTGATGGGGAAAGAAGTTGGGGAACGTGAGTTCTGGCAGCTCCTCCAAGCCCCTGACACCCCACTGCTAGAAGGTGAGTCTGGTGGCCAGCCACCTCTGGACACCTGCCCCAACCGGCCTTGTTGTGGCGAGGCTTCCCCGGCTCACCTTGGCTTTCCCCTGAGCCTTTCTGGGCCTCAGCCTCAGGTCATCACTGATGCTCCAGGTGGCTTCTGACTTACTGACCTGAGCGCTTAAGAACTTTTACATAAGTTATTGGGGCAACTCTAGGAAATCAGATAGGCAAAAAAGGAAAATTAAAATCACCTATCATTTGCTCCCCAGAAATTACTTCTTTTAACTGTTGGCGTATTTTCTTCCAGCTAATTTTTTAAATATGTAAGCTTTTTCATAAAAACGGAGCCGAGCTCTGTAGCGATGCTGTCTGACAGAAACGATATGCTAGTGTAATTCTAAATGTTCTAGATGGCGACACTAATATTAACGATATATCTTATTTAACCAAATACACAAGATACTATTATTCCGAGATATAATCAATGTAAAATTATGAATGACATTTTTGCATGCTTGTTTTGTTCTAAGACTTCAAATGCACAATAGCTATGTGTGGCTAATGTGAGCATACTGGGTGGCACAGCTCTGTATACTGTTTGGCAACTTTAAAAAAACAATTCTTGGGGCTCCTGGGTGGCTCATTCATTAAGCGTCTGCCTTCAGCTCGGGTCATGGTCCCAGGGTCCTGGGATCGAGCCCTGCATCGGGCTCTCTGCTCAGCGGGAGGCCTGCTTCTCCCTCTACCACCCACCCCCCAGACTTGTGTTCCCTCTCTCGCTGAGTCTTTCTCTGTCAAATAAATAAATAAAATCTTAAAAAATAAATAAATAAATAAAATTTAAAAATTCTCTTCTTTTTTTGAAAAACATTTTATTTCATTTATTTATTTGACAGAAAAAGAGAGATCACAAGTAGGCAGACAGGCAGGCAGTGGAAGAGGGAGAAGCAGGGTCCCTGCTGAGCACGGAACCCGATGTGGGACTCAATCCCAGGACGCTGGGATCATGACCTGAGCCGAAGGCAGATGCTTAACCAACTGAGCCACCCAGGCGCCCCTCATTTATTTATTTTTTAAAGTAAGCTCTGTGCCCACTGTGGGACTCTAACTCACGACCATGAGATCAAGAGTCGCCTGCTCTTCTGACTGAGCCAGCCAGGCGCCCTGCAACTTATTTTTTTCATTCTTAATGTATTGTGGACATCTTTCTATGTTGTTATATGTAGATCTTCCCCTTCCTTTGAAATAGCCACGTAGAATTTATCACTCATGAGGGTGTTTGGGGCTGCAAATAACAGGAAACACAGTGCCAACCAACTTCCACTATATGACATTCGTTGGGGTCGAGTGACCAGGGTCAAGAGGGAATGAGGACTTTGGGGCTGGTGTAACCTGGGCTCCAGCCCTGCTCCCCTGTGACTCCATACGCCTCTTTTTATTGGCTTCCTCACCCTTCTTGTGTCTTCCCAGGGCAGCTCCCTTTTAAAACTTTGCCCCAAGCAGACAGAGGTGGAATTGGGACACAGGCACATTCCTGGACCCATCCCCGTTGTTAGGAGATGGCCCAGGTTCTGCACCCACCGTCGGCTAGAGAACAAGGATTGCCACACGACTGGTGTGGGCCAGTCAGGGCCTGCCTCGGCACTTCGTGCTGCAGAGGGGCGTGGAGTGAGATGGCGAGGCTGCAGCTTCTTGATTCCTGCTAGATATTTAGGGTTTTAATGCCTACGCCTCAAGCTGTCATGAGCATCCTTGTGCATCAGCCCAGTCACCAGACAGACTCTGAAGGGTCCTCTGTCCCTGCTCTTGCTATCTGGAGCTTCTGTTGGGCACCTACCAAGTGCCAGGCATTGGGCCAAGTACTTTCCAGAAAGTGGGCCTTTCTGAGGGAGTCCAAGAAAAAGCATTCTTTTTCCCTGCCTGCTTCTGAACAGACTGAGAAGTAAAACAAAGAGGGGGCAGATGGAGACCCCAGATCTGGCCTCTATTACTGATAAAGCCCGGGCTGGAGGGTGTAGCCTGGGGCAAAAGCCCGATGGACTCAATCATGAGACAGATGTGGATCATTGTGTCCTCCACGCCCCCCACCCGCCCCATCCTGGTCCAGCAGGAAGCCCACTCTCATGGGGAAAAAAGGAGCACCTGGTTGTTGATACCATTATTGTCCTCATTTCAGAAGTGGGAATGCCAGCACTCACCATTGTGAAATAACTTGCCCAGAGTCACACCGCTGACGAGTGCAGAGCTGGGACTTGACTGTCTCTAGTGAGTGGAGGCTGGCTCCAGCAGACTTCACTTGTGGTCTTGGTTCTCCCTCCAGACCACACTGAGCAAATCCCCCTTCCTGATGGCCCCTCAAGGGACCCTGAAGACAGTGACCCTGCCCGTCAGGTGTTGTCAAGGGTCTCTGGTTCCTTTCACCCCATGTTGGTTATCCAGAATGCTGTCCCGGCCCCCCTCCCTGGGGGCCTCCCCCACTGTAAAATGAGCCTGTGGGCCTCAGGAGCCCTGAGGTCACAGCTGATTTCAGTTTCCAGACTGGTTCTGGACAGCGCCCACTTTCCCACCAGCAAGCCCTGAGTGGATCTGATAGACCCTGGCCTCAGGGTGCTTGTCCATAAGAAGAGGTGGTGGGGTGGGGGGTGGGATTTTCTCCCCTGCTAACCCCTCTGCTTACCTGTTTCTGCAGGTATTGCTGACTATATCCCCAAGGATGGAGAAACCATCGAGCTGAGGCTGGTTAGCTGGTAGCCCCTGGGCTCACCCACGCCAGCAGCCTGGCCCATTGCTGGGCCTCCGCCTTCCCTCCAGACATCGCTGTAACAGGCACATACATGCCCAATCCTGCTGCTACCTCATGTGTCCTTGGAGGAGTGTCCCCTGGATTACCCAGCTACTACCCTTGCAAAGGTCCTCAGCCACCATCCACCCTGGATCAGGGAACCACGCATCTTCCTGGGAGGGCTGTTGCTCGAGTCCGGCCCCGCCTGGCCACACAGGCATCCCTTGAAGGCCACTCATAGTCTGAAGGGTCTGAAGCATCTCAGACTCCTCAACACAAGGAGAAGTCACGGCCATTGGTGTTGTGAGTACTGCCCCCTCTGGGATTGGGGTCCTGCAAGGAGACCTGTGTGGCCCAGGGGCTGCAGTCCCGACCCCAGCTCTCTACTCCGGCCTTCAGGGCGGTGGCCCCGGTGCTGGCCTTGGCAGAGTGGCTGGTGGGGGCTCTGCCGAGCTGCTCAAAGCCTGCCTCTGAAATGATTAAAGTGTTGATTGTGCACCTGCCCTGGTGTCCTGATGCCTCAAGCTCATGACTGAGTACAGGGGGCTGGAGGAGGAGGAGCTCCCCTGGGGGCGCAGAGGAAGGTGGGGGGTGGGGGGGTGGCGGCATTCTCCTGGGGGCTGGTAAGGAGCAGTGCTGCTGATGCCAACGCTGATTACTGTTTAGGGAACATAGCCTTGCTGGATGCTTTCTCGCACAACTCTTGAGCTTGTGGATATTTTTGTTTTCATCTCTACTTTGCAGATAAGGAAACTGGTACTCAGCAAGGGCGTGTGACTCACCCACAATGTCAGGCAGGGGACGTGGCTGAGGAGACACAGGCCTGGCCTGGGGTGGCCTCCTGGCTCGTCCACGCAAACACTGAAAATTGGGGGGCTTCCATGGTTGTTGGGATTACATGACAGAACCCAAATGTAACTGGAGGCCCAGGAGCCTAGAGCTTTTTTTTTTTCCCCAACACACAGTCAGGGTACCACCCCAGGCCTCAGCGGCCAGGGGCCAGGGACCTTGCCTGTTAGTGGGAGGGCCCTGAACTCTGGGCTGACCTCTGGGAAGTGGGGTTCAGGCCAGGGAGGCACCTCACATGCCCCACCTCACCAAGGTGAGGAAGAGGGGGGCCTGCCCTCAGAGGGCCTCTGTGCTAGACAGTGTGTTACATAGATACCTCTTCCTAGAGCTCTGGTTTCACATATTTGGGGTCTGGACAGGGAGGGGAAGTAGATGATTTAAAAAATTCTTATATTGAAACAAACATCAGAGTATCAGAAAGCCACATGAAGACACAGCCTGTTTGGAAGGTGAAATGTCTGTGCCCAGAACCCCAGAGGACTTGTTCACCTGTCCCTCCTTGATCACCATCAGGGGCACTTCTCAGAGGATTCAGAACCTGCTCCCTGCTCTGTGGTTCTTCTACAGTCCTGTTGAAGAAGGGTGGAGACTCAGGGGTCTGAGGCTTGCCTCAGGTCACATAGCCTGGAGGTGGCCGAGTCCAGACCCTCCCCCACTGACCTCAGCCCCGAGGTACTTGCCACCACAGAACCCCCGCTGTCTCCTCGCCTGTCGTGGAGACACCAAGTGAGGAAGCCACAGGCCCCTCCCACAGAGAGGAGACTGGCAGTGGCAGGTCTAGACCAGGCTAGAGAGAGAGGGTGGACATGAACGACAGGGATGCCCCTGCACTGGGCTTTCGAGGGCGCACAAACTGGGTGTTATCTACCCTCCAAAGGGACTATTTAGTCAGGGTGTGTTTGGCTCTGAGGAGCAGAAAACTACTGAATCCTACTCATATCAAGCCCACCAACTCAGGGGCAGCCAAGGGTGGTAGGGAAGCAGACGCTGGGGCTCAACTTTCCATCAACTCCACAATGATCACTAGTCTCTGTGTCTTTCCCCCGTCAGCTTCTTCAGAGTGTGGCCCCAGCAGTGACTCTGTCACCTTCCAGTTCAATTCCCCAGCCCCCTCTCACTTCCTCAGCCTGTGTCCCAAAGCCTAGAGAGGGGGTCTGCCCAGCCCAGCCTGCCTGTGGATTCTGGGCCAGGTGTCTAGCCTGCTGTGGGCTGCTCTGGGCTTTTGGATGGACCCCAAGGACAGCAAAGGAGCCCCCTGCCCCCATTTTTGCACAAGGGAAAATCCTATGGAGAGTCTTGCTGTCTACAAGTCAAGGCAGGTTAAAAACTGGGGCTCTGGACCCAGACAGACCTAGTCTGAATCCCCCACCAGCACTCAGGCTGCACAACCCCTGCTTTGAGCTGTGCCCTCAGCCTCTCCCTTCCCCCTCCACCGCAATGTGGGCAGCTCTCTCCATCCCATCATGGCCCACTCAGGCCTCATCTTGAATAATCCTCTAACCCACCCCTTATCAGGCAGGGCAGGTAGGAGCTGTTTTGTGGCAGTCTTGGAGGAGTTGTAAACACTGCCTACCACTCCCTGCTAGCTCAGCTCTGAGAAAGTCAGGGTGTTTACTAGTTTTTAAAGTATTATTATTATTATTTTTAATTAAAGGAAATTTCCTGGAAAACTGACATCTCAAAAAGAATATAACCCTTAGGGGGCACTGATTCCTCTTCTTCAGGAAGTATGGGGGGAGGGAGGTTGCCCTCTTGGCTGGCTCAGCTTCTCTCCCACAACCCCTCTTGGAGAAACCCTGTCTAAATACCCCCTTATTTTAGTCCTTGACCTGAAAATCCTTTCGCCTACAATTTGGACTATTAAGCAGCTATTTGCAGGCTCCAGCAGGCATCGGAATCACCAGAGGCAAATGTAAAAATGCAGATTCCTGGGCCCACCAGAGAGCGTCTGATTCAGCAGGTCTCCGGTGAAGCTGGGGGCGGGTGTTGGGGGTGCGGGGGGTGGGGGGTGGTGCGGTGGACACAGACGGTGCTAATCCTTGTCCAGTGATTATGATGGGGCTTGAGGGGCACTTGTCATTCCGAAGTCTTACCACGAGGGGGCGCCGCGGACCGAGCTAAGTGGTTACCCTTTGCGGTCTTGTTCCTCCCGACAGGCTGCTGTCCTCAGGACTTGCTGGTCAGACAACAGGCTAAGGGTGAGCCGTGTTCCGGTGGGCAGCTTCCGCAGGGAAGGAAGCCCGACGTCAGGAAAGAGGCTCGCAGTTGGCTGTGGGCACCTACCTGCGCCAGGCATTGCACCTTGGTTCTTGCGCACTTGGGTTCCGGAGCTCAGAGAGTCCAGTGTCCAGCCTGGAATCCGAATCAGCTTGTTCTGCTCTGGGATGCGCGGTTTCCCCAACCCTGAGCAAAGAGAGCATCCGTCGTTTAGATGGGAAAGCAGAGACCCAGACAGGGGCAAGGGCTTAGTGGCAGCTGCTCTGGCTGCCAGCCCACCCAGGGCTCTTTGTCCTGCTAGGGCTGGGGGCAGAGGGTGGACCCCAGGAAGTCCAGCTATGAGTCAGTTCTGAGTGCCCAGGGGACGGGACAGAGGCTGCTGGCCAGGGATAGATGCTGGCTGGTACCCCGCTTCCACAAATGTGGGTGGCCTTGGTGATTCAGTTTCCCTGTGTCTGCCTAGAGGGGGCCGGCCCTGGGCTGGGAGAGGGAGGAAGTGCTGGGAGTTAGGGAGGGACTATGGAGGGGCCTTAAGGGGCTCGGTGGTCCAACTCGTCTGGATGCTGAGGTCCCACGGAATAACTGTGGCCAGAGATCGGGTGGCCCCGAGACTGGTCCTGGGATGAGGGTCCCTGGGTGGGGGTCTTTGAAGATGCAGTCCCCGGTGAGGCTGGGGGTTTTATCGGGCTCCCTCAGAAAGGCACCTCATTGTCCCCGCACTGAATAGGTCTCTACGGGGGGCTTGCCTTGGCGCTGGATGTGGAGGGGCCTGATTCCCCACTGCTAGGGGAGAGGGGACAGGCAGCCTGGCCACTCCAGCTGGGGGGCTCTGCTGATGGAGGGACTGCTAGGCGGATGGAGGAGGGGCCGTGAGCGGGCGGCTTGGGGGAGGAGCGAGACATCCCTCCCGGCTCCGGGGGCGGGGCCTAGCCAGGGGCGGTGCTGGGGGCTCAGCTCAACTTTCCGGGTGGGGCGCGGGCGGTGGCGGTGGAGGCGGGGCCTAAGAGCGCGGGGCCTCGCCCGCGGGGCCGGCCGGGGCTGAAGCCTGGCTGGAGCTGCTGCGGGAGCCGGAGCCGCAGCCGCAGCCGCAGCCGCAGCCGCAGCCGCAGCCCGAGCCGCCGGGAGCCGGAGCCGCCGGGAGCCGGAGCCGCCGGGAGCCGGAGCCGGAGCTGGAGCGCAGGCCCCTGCCGGAGCCTAGTCTAGCCGAGCTCGTCGCGGAGCATCGGCCTGAACGCGGGCCGGTGTGTCAGCTAGCCGCTGGGCCTGGGCGCACTGTCGGAGGAAGCGAGCCGCGACCACCGGGCACCACCGGGAGTCGGTGCCCGGATCGCCCCTGCCAGGCCTGGGCCCGGCCTGAACGAGCAGTAGGTCGCGGGGTCTGGACCGAAGAGGAAAAGGAACGAGGATTCCATCTAATCGTGGAGTGGGCTTAAAAGCGGGAAGAAGAGTGGAGACTTCACGTGGGACCGCGCAGAGGTGCCTGCAGCTTACTAGGCCAGGCTTGAGCACCGGACAGCCTGGCATGCCAGCCGCTCGGCCGGGGTTCTGCCCTGCCTGAGCCAGGAGCACCGCATAGCTCCTGGACCTTGGCTGGCACAGGCCTAGCACAAGAAGCAGTGCTCTCACCTGTCTGAGGAACTGTGCTTGGGCCTGGCCCAGAGTGGGACTCTTCGGTGGCCCAGAGCTGGTCACTGGGGAGCCGTCCTCCTGCCCCGGACCCACTGGTACGGATGTGTCGCTGCCCGCTGGAGCACCATGACGGCAGGATGACCTCAGCGGAGGCAGTGGCTAGTGGTGCTCGGGGGGCTGGGTCCCCCGAGTGGCCGCCCGACACCCCCCAGGCCCTCGGGCGGCCTGGCCGGGCCCGGGTGGCCGTGGCAGCACTGGTGTGGCTGCTGGCAGGGGCCAGCATGTCAAGCCTCAACAAGTGGATCTTCACTGTGCACGGCTTCGGACGGCCCCTGCTGCTCTCCTCGCTACACATGCTGGCAGCGGCCTTGGCGTGCCGCTGGGGGGCACAGCGCCCCATGCCCCACCGCACTCGCCTCCAAGTGCTGCTGCTCAGCCTCACCTTCGGCACCTCGATGGCCTGTGGCAACGTGGGCCTGAGCGCTGTGCCCCTGGACCTGGCACAGCTGGCCACCACCACCACGCCACTGATCACGCTGGCCCTGTCCGCGCTGCTGCTCGGCCGGCGCCACCACCCGCTGCAGTTTGCCGCCATGGGCCCACTCTGCCTGGGCGCCGCCTGCAGCCTGGCCGGGGAGCTCCGGACACTGCCCGCTGGCTGTGGCTTCCTGCTGGCTGCCACCTGCCTCCGCGGCCTCAAGTCCATCCAGCAGAGTGAGTGCCTGGGTCACGGGCTGAGAAGGTGGGGATTGGGGTGGGGGTGTGGCCTGGATGGCCCTGTGAGGGGTATGGCTGTTATCCCATCTTCCAGATGAAGAAACTGAGGTTCGTGACTTTGGAGGAGGCAGTAACTGAGGCTCGGTAAAGGACCGACAGCTCAGAGAATTCCAGGCCCCAAACTTAGCTCTAGACCCCAGCCGATATTTAATAATAGTTGCCATTGATCCGTGTCTCATGTTTTGTCAAGCCTTTTATCTCACTGGATCTCCATACTGCCCTGATGAAGGAAGTCACTCAGTTGTCCCCGTTGACAGGTAGAGACTTGCCCAGGGTCATGTGGCTAGTGAGCAGCAGAGGCAAGATCTGAACCCAGGCAGTCGGACTCCGTGCTGTCCAAGTGATGTGGCGTAAGGCTGTGGACCCTGAAGGAGAACTGATAGTGGGGACTCAGGAGAGGGGAAAGAGGGCGAGACCTTGAGCTGGGATTTGGAAGCTGAGGGGTTTGGCTAAGTCTGGGAAGGACTGATGTTTACTGGGAGCTGCAGTGTAACAGTCCCCATGCTCCGCGTTGACCTTGAATCGCCATGGCAACCACCACCTTCATTCTCATTTGATAGCCCATGGAACTGAGACCTAGAGGTTCATGATTTGTCCCAGGTGACCTCACTTCTGAAGAAAGGAGACAGGGGGCCCTGGGCAGAAGGTGAGGTGGAGGCTCCAGGCCTAGACCCTGCTAAATCACTGGGTCTGAGGGTAGAGGATGCCTTCCCCTCTGTCTCCTCAAGGGGCATCTGAGTCACTGTCCCCACCCTCTCTCTGCCTCAACCTAAGGGAGATGTGGGGGAAGGCAGGGTGCCCACTTGGGGTGGGGAGGCCTGGGATCCAACCACGTGTTTGCTCATACTTGCTGGTCAACCTTGGGCAGATCTGGGTCTTATCTGGGCCTCAGTCTCCCTATCTGTTCAGAGGAGGAGGGTTGGAGTTGATGGAGTCCCAGGGGCCCCGTGCTCTCTCCCCCTTCCAGCTCTGAGATCTGTGACCTAGGCCTGGGAGAATGAGGAGGGGTCTTCAAGGGTGCTAGGCTGGGGTTGGGGGCAGCCTGCAGGCAAGGGAAGGTAGATGTCAGAGCTCAGCCCTGCCCTGGCATCTTCCCCATCCTCCTGGGCCCTGAGGCATGGTCAAAGCTCCGTGCTATTTTTGCCCTTGGGTTACATGAGAGCTGGTGACTGAGCTTGGGCCTGAGCTCTGGGCATGAGGCGGTAGTGGGAAACCTGACCTCTTTCCCCCCGACCCCCACCCCACCTCACCCCACCCCAGCAGGGTCACAGGGCTGGGAAGACCCCAGCCTTCAGGCCCACAGCACACCTGCTTCTCACCCAGCCCTCAGGCGCGAAACAGCAGGTGCCTGGCATTGATCTGTTTCTTGGCTTCTGCCAGCTTCCTCCTTCTCTCCCGAGTGTCAACCGCCTGGCCCTCAAGGTGGGTTGGGTGCTTCCTCCAGGCTCCCACAGTACCCTCTGTTTCCCCTGTCACAGCTCTGATGTCCTGTATTGTAGATACTTGGTTACCTGTCTGCATCCCATCAGACAGGAGGGCTGAGAGGGCATGGACTGGCTTTGGGCATCTCCATGTCCCCCAGCACCTGGCCTGAGGCCTGGCACAGGCAAGTACTCCTTCAGTGGGTGGGTTATTAATGGCTCTGATAGCAGAATTGGCAGGCTGGTTAAGGTACATGGCTCAGGGTGCTAAGCAGGGAGCTTAGGAGGCTGGAGGCCCCACCAACCGAGATGGGAGCCTGGCAGAGATGGGGAGGAACAGACCGGAGCCAGGAAGTGAGGTGAGTTTTGGATAAGAGGAGGTTTCTACTTCCAGGGGTTCCAGATTCAGACTAGAGTGTAAATGGTAGGCTGAGAGCAGACTGCATGGAGTAAGGGTAAGAGTCCAGGAAGAGGAGCACCCAGGCAGCCATGGGCAGGGCCAGTCTCTTCCTTCCTATCTGGGCCACTTGCAGGCCCAGGGTGGGGCTACGCTCCCAGAGAGGCTGGGAAGAGGGGTGCCAGCTTGCTGAACTTGCTTTCAGCTGTACCCACCTGCATCAGAGAGCAGCCTGACCTGATCCCTGCCTGAGTTCTCAGGCTGGTGGGGAGATGCACTCAGAGGCAGAGACTACAAGGGCAGAAGAAAAGTTCTAGAGCCAAGGTGGGCACAGGTGTGGTCGGGGCCAGTTTTCTTCTTCCTGGGGAGACCAGAGGAGAGAGCATTCTGGGAGTGGGAGGCACGCCTTGCCAGGGCCCGGGTGGCAGCCGGCAGGAGCAGCGTGGGGGATCATGACAGCTGCCGTGGCGAGCAGTCACTGCCGGGCACCAGACCCTGAGCTCAGCACCTCGCACGCTCCTGTGAGGGCGGTGTTGTTACACACGAGGAGATGAGACCTAGAGTGACTTGTGTGATATCACACAGCTGGTGACAGAGCAAAGATGGGCTAAGCCAGCAGCCATAGGAACAGAGGGTCTAGAGAACGTTTGTCTGTCTGTGGCGGAAGCCTAGGTGTGTTCAGATGCTGAAACAAAATTGCCTTTAGAGAAGGAGAGGTTGAAATGGAGGGTTTGGTGGGGCTAGCCGGGGAGGGGTCATTAAGGAGGCAGGACCATAGGCTGGCATTTGGGGGCCCTGAGTGGGGCGAGTGGCCTGAGGCAGAGGATCACTGCTCTTTCCCTGGGCTGCACGGAGGGCAGGCAGAGGGCTGGGTCGGGATGCAGAATGGGCACAAGGGGCTGGGGGTGGTGGGGAGGTTAGGACCTTCCTGCCTGGCTACCTCACGGCAGCCACTGGGGCCATGGGAGAGAGAGAGGGGCCTTCTGGAAGGGTCACCTTAGAGGCAGTGAAGTTCACCTAAACACCTTCCAATGATGGGACCTTTAACGTACAAGCCACACGCCGCTTGTAATAGTGCTAAATTTGGAGTGAAGGAGCAGGAAGCATTCCAATTATCTGTTCATTTCTAGAAATGCTTGAGCTGGAGGGACTGTTGCCTAGAGAACAAAGCCAAAACATCAAAATGAAATTGAGAGAGAAATACGGTTTTCCTATTCTGGCCTATGAGTAAGCACCCCTGTGGCTCTTTGGAAAGCGTGTGTCAGAAAATGCACAGAGGCTCCCAGAGCCCTGGGAGGGGGCCTCCATCGGTTACTCATCTCTCTCCACTAAAGCTAGGAGAAGGCCCCAGAACATCGTCACCAGCGTGCACACACTGTCATTTGACCCGAGCGGTGTCTGACTTTGATGATGGGCACTGCTTCCTTTGTGAACAGCTGGGTGGTAACATGTATAAGCATAGACTCACACACACACACACACACAGACACACGCACACATTCACACATATGCAAGCTGGTAGGATCCTCTCTTTCCTTGCAAAACTAAAAGCTTTCCTCTTCGTCCTGGATTCATCTCGACAAGCCTTAGTGTTGGTAGCAAAAGATGCTGATGATCAGTTATGAACAGTGAGTGACAGCCAAGTGCAAACAATGACTTTCTTGTTGTCTTCCCGTCATCCCAGGGTCATAAGTGAATGAAGCAATGAATGAACTCGCCACTTGACTCCAATTTATTATTGTAAAACTCTTTTTTTTTTTTTTTTTGCTAGGAGGTGGCAGAGCTGGGACCTTCTGTTGGCCCGTCTGTTGCTATGGTGGTGGGCACTGCAGTGTGGGGTAGTGGGTGGGTGGGTAAGGACTGAAATCAAGAAAGGTGGATCAGGGTCACTTGGCACAGGGCCTTCCAAGCTGGTTAAGAACCTAGGATATTTTTCTCCGGGGCCTGGGGAGCCCCCGAAGACTTTTTGTTTTTTGGTTTTTTTTTTGAGCCACATTTCATGTTTATTGATCGTTTGGCTATCACAAGCAGCTTATTGTTTGAGGCTGCGGAAGGCAGTTTGAAGTGGATGATAACAGACTTATTTATTTACCTTTTTACATTTAGTGAGTACTTACCTTACAAAGTCTTGATAAGTGTCATCTATTTTAATATTTACAACAACGCTGCGAATGAGGTGTTATCACCCAATTCTGCAGGTGATACGGAGGGTAAGTGCCAGGTCATAGCCGGTCAGGAGCGGACGCAGGTCGCAGGCTAGGTGGTGTGCCTGGATTCTTGACTGTCATGTTACAGAGCAGGAGCCACTAATTCTGCCTGAGGGACTGGGCCAGGCTTCCGGGGTGATGGGCCCCCGAGCCCCTGCCAGGTCGGCCAGTGGGGTGGGGGTCGTCTCCCTCGGGGTGCTGATGGCTGCCGTCCTGCTTGCAGGTGCCCTGTTGCAGGAGGAGAGTCTGGACGCGGTGACCCTGCTGTATGCCACCTCGCTGCCCAGCTTCTGCCTGCTGGCGGGTGCGGCCCTGGTGCTGGAGGCCGGTGTGGCCCCGCCGCCCGCCCCCGCCAGCTCCCAGCTCTGGGCCTGCATCCTGCTCAGCTGCCTGCTGTCCGTGCTCTACAACTTGGCCAGCTTCTCCCTGCTGGCTCTCACCTCCGCCCTCACCGTCCACGTCCTGGGCAACCTCACTGTTGTGGGCAACCTCGTCCTGTCCCGACTCCTGTTTGGCAGCCACCTCAGTGCCCTCAGCTATGTGGGCATTGCACTCACCCTTTCAGGAATGTTCCTTTACCACAACTGCGAGCTCGTGGCCTCCTGGGCTGCCCGCCGGGGCTTCTGGAGGAGGGGTCGGACTGGCAAAGGTCTTTGAGACCTAGGGGAACACTTGGGCTCTCTGGGACAGCCCCAGCCTGAATCCAACCTTGGCCAGTGGCCATGGGAAAAGCAGAGAGCAGGCAGCCACTGGGGCCATGGGAGAAAGAGAGGGGCCTTCTGGAAGGGCCACCTTGGAGGCTGGAATGGGGATTCCTGGAGAGAACCACCTCCTGTCCCTTGCCTGCCTCTAACCACAGACCTCACTCACCACTGGATGGTGGGTCTAGACCTAGCACAGGCACTGTGCTTCTTGGACTGATTGTTAGGATGAGCATCAATCTCCAAAAATTGCTGGCCAAACTTTGAAAACCTCACCATGTTCTGATGACGACGATGATGATTCTTGGCGATTGCACAATCCTTCCTCCAGGAAGTGGGGGAGGCAGCTAGGGGGCCCAGGGAAAGGCTTCTTTGTTGCTGGGATCCCCTGGGGATTGGGGTCATCTGTGCCAACTCTAGGCAGCTGCTGTAGCCTCACCCCTGGGCCCCCCAATTTTGGGTCTTCCATCCTCAAATAAACTATTTTTGCTTGTATACCTGTGTCATTCCTCAGAGTGACAGCCGAGGAGATATAGGGAGAGCTCTGGGCCCACTGGCTGCTAGCTGCCCACCCAGAAATGAGGACATCCTCCCTTACCCATCATGGCCTGTCTGGGTCCCCTTCTCTAACTGGCCAGGCCACCATTGCTCACATTCTGCATGGTGGCAATGGCTTCCTCCCTGCTCTGCTCTGGCTTCTCTACTCCACCTTCCACATAGCCCCCGAAGGTTCTTTCTAAAACACACACCTTCTGGGGCTCTATACTGCTCCTGGGACAAAGTCAGAACTAACTGCCCCAGACCACAAGACCATCAGGATCTGGCCCCTGCGGCCTCACCAGGTTCCTGTCTCGCTTCTCTCCTTGGGCTCCACCTTCCATCCTCACCGACTTCTTTCAGGCACCTGGCCCAGGAAGGACAGGCGCAGAGTTTCCTGGCCCTGGCCTCCATCTAGGCTGGCCTTTTGAAGGGGAAGTGGGCCCAGGCTGAGTCACTCACTACCCACCCTGCCCGTGACTCAGAGATGCCGCTGGCCCAGCCCTGTCCCTGTGCAGCCTGGGCATTTCCAGCCTCCACTCTGAGGCTTGGCCAGACAAGACAGATTAGATGTCTTTGGGTGGGCAGAGCCGCACCAGTATTCAGGACCCTTTCTCTTTCCAGGGAGTCCCCCTGCCAGAGTAGGAGCCTCCCTGCAGCACCCTCACTGTGGCTCCTGGAACCCCATGGAATGCTTGGCTGAAGGGTGAGCCTACCCCAGCCCCCAAACCCTATCAGATCAGAGCCAGCCCTTGGTGGTTGTGGGGGCAGAGGGCAGGGGTGAATCGGAGCTGTGCTTGACCTTGGGGCTGGCTTGTCACCAGACTCAGGACTCTCCAGCATTGAGGAGATTCCCTCAAGGTCATGTTTAAAGCCCTCCCTATCAGAAAACCCGGGTTTGTATCCTGGCCCCCTTTCTCACAGTGTGACCTGTTTGGTCTCTCTTGGTGTCACAGTGTCATTGGGAGTGGGCAGTAAGGATTGCTGGAATAACCGGTAGGAAGGGCTTGGTGGGTGATTTCCATCACAGGCCACTGCCCCTCTAGGCTCTCCCTCTTACGAGTTGATTGCCTCAGGCAAGTCGCTCCACCTCTCCAGGCCTCAATCTTTGTACCCAGTCCCTGCAGGGAAGCCTTGTCCTCAGGAGAACAGATGTCACCTTCCTTGGGAAGCTCTTTCCTACCCCTACCTCTGCCCTGCTCCATGCAAAGCAGAGTCGAGAGCCACAGCTAAAGGTCACCCCAGTTCCTTGCACTCAGGCTGGGCACTGAGCACATCCCACTGTCAGAACTAGTGTATCACTTCTCTTCCCCACCAGCCTGGCCTCTGGCAAGGGCCAAGACAGCTGTCCTGCTCACCACTGTCTCCCCAGCACCAGCACGGGGCCTGCTATGGACAGAGTAGGTAGAAGAGAATACTAGTCAAGAACAGGGGTCAGACCTGGGTCCAAACCCCAGCTCTGGCGTTGTCTAAGCTGTGTGACTCCAGGCAACGGCCTTCTCCTCCTGTGCCTCTGTGTGTTAAGTGGGGGCAGCAGTAGAACGGAACCCTGGCTAGCTTGGGGAGGGGGCTGCAGTGGGCTAATGTGTGGCAAGTGCTTAGCAATAGTGCCTGAAACCTAATAGGTCCTCAAGAAATGTTAGCAGACTGACTCACAACAGAACTAACAGAATTCCTAGTTCCTTCCCAAGGCTTTTCATACTAGCCACTTCCCTCCCCCCCAACCTTCCACTGCACGGTGAGCCCCTTCCCCCGCCCCCCACCCTGGGGGCTTGCTCTTAGAGCACAGTGGGAGGGCTGCCCCAGCTCCCACCCCCTTGCCCTGCTTTGGAGGAAGCTGGGGATCTGGGTCTGTGCTGGGCATCCTGCCATTGTGGATTCAGAACAAAGCCCCTGCCTTGTCTCAGCCCCAGCTGCGAGGGGGCCCCTTCCCAGCCACCCCAGGGGGCCCTTGGATTGTCATTCCAGGGGCCAGAGCAAACAAGGGCTCTTCTTCCTCTCTGCTCTGTTCCCAAATCAGCTCAGGGATGCCAGAAACTCCACCATCGCACTGCCCCAGCTCACTTGCCAGTACTTCCTGGAAAGAACATACTATACAATGGAGAGCCATGGGAGAGGCTTTGAGCAGGCAAGAGCCATGATGTTGAACACACATTTCTTGAGAGTGGCCCTTTAGTTTGGTCTGGATCCTATGTGGAGGGGAAATGGAAGGGGAAATTGACAGGAGGTAGAGAGATCAGGGAAGAGGTATTGTGGTCCAGAGGACAGTGGGGACAGTGTTGTGGGCACAGTGCAGAGTACCATCAGCTGTATAGATTTGGGGTAACAAATTATCCCCAAACATTACGGCTTAAAGCAACACACATGAATTATCTGACAGTTTCTGTGGATTGGGTATTTGGGAGTGGCTTAGTGGAATAGTTCTGGATGTCGCCCAGGGCTGCGGGCTGAAGGCTTGACTGGGGCGGGAGGGTCCACTTCCAAGATGAGTCATCCACACGGCTGTTGGCAGGAGGCCTCGCTTCCTTGCCACGTGGGCCTCTCCACAGTGTCCTTAAGACATGGTAGTTGGCTTCTCTCAAAATGAGTGATAAAGAGAGCAAAAAGCCATAATATCCTTTGTGACCCAATTTCAAAAGTCACACTCATTTCTCTAATATCTTCATTTATTATTTAACTCTAATACTGTCATTTCTCTGATATCTTAGGTCAACCCTATCCAGTATGGGCCCTCCCACCTTGGCTACCCTAAGGACATGAATACCAAGAAGAGGGGATCTTTGAGGTCAGCTCAGGCTGGCTACCACATCAGTGAGTGTTTGTTGAGTGAGAGATTGAGGAGGACACAGCTTGGGGCCACGGGGAATGAGTCCGGGAGTCTCCTGCTCCAGATGGGATTTTGTTGGCTGCACCTCTGTGTCCTCCCGGATACAGTACTATAGGATCCTGCCCACAGTGGGCACTTGGCAAGTGGCAAGTGGAGGCCGCTTTCTTTGCTCCCCACTCACAGACAGGAGAAGGCCTGGGCTCCTTGGTCTGGTATTTAAAGCCCTGGATGCTCTGCTATCTCCAAGCCCACTCCCCGTGATTCTTCCAGCTAGATGAGGCTACCCCTGCTCCCTGTGCCTGATGGAACCTTCCAGTATCTAGTCATCCTTCTGCCCACTCATCATGTGCCCCTCCCTCCTTCTCTAAGCACTGCCAGCATCCCAGCTGGGTAGATTCTGGTGCAGCAGTGCCTGCTGCCTCGACGGGGCATTGCTCTTTGTACGTAAATTTTCTTTGGCGTAAGAACCCTGTCTGTGCATCTTATGCTGGAGCCCAATATCAAACAAGCCAAAGCTGAGGCACCTTAGCTGAATGAGGAAACCCCTTACCCCTGAGACACCTCTGCCAAATTTCCCATGAACCCTGTTTGAAAGCCACAAATCTAGTTCAATCCTTGTCATACGTATGAGGCAACTGAAGCCCAAAGAGGAGGAAGAACCAAGATGATTCGCTTCATCTGTTCAGGCTGCTGTAACAAGATGCCACAGGCTGGGTGGCTTATAAACAGAAATTTATTTCTCACAGTGCTGGAGGCTGGATGTCTGAGGTCAGGGTCCCAGCACAGTTGGGTGCGGGGCCTCTTCTGGGTCACTTTTTTGTATTCTTACACGGCAGATGGGGCAACTAGCTCTCTGGGGCCTCTTTTACAAGGACATGAATCCCATTCATGATGGGTACACTCTCATGACCTCATGACCCCCCAAAGCCCCTACCTCCGAATACCATCATCTTGGGCATTAGGTTTTCAACATATGAATTTCAAATATTCAGACCATAGCAAAAATCTGATGCAAAGGGGGAACAGCAGGGCTAGGGCTTTATCTGCGAATTTTGGGGATTCTGCCATTTCCTGCTCCGACCTCTGCTCTAGAGAACAGAGCCAGGGTGTGAAGTTATAGAGGTATGTATGGGCTGGCCCAGGTTCATAGGGAGTGTCTGCCACAGAAGTTGCCAGGCGGGTATCTCCCAGCTCAGGCAGCAAAACATTTTTTTTTGTCTTCAGGGAAAAGCATTACAAATGTTTTGCCACGGGGAAGTCTAGAAACATTTGCGGCAAGAGGCTTTTACAGATGTTGAAAGCTTTCTGCTTTGGGGTGTCTCCTGGCACCTCTGAGAGGTGGGCAGGATGGTGATTTACTCCGGGTCCTCTGAGAAGCAGACACCAAGGTGGAAAGAAAAGTGCAAGGGTTTTATGAGGGCAAACGTCTGTGAGAGAAAATGGGAAGGGAGCTGGGAAGGCTAGGAGACCTGTCAGACCATGATGTAAGACTCTGAGTGGAGAGAGGGGAGGAAGGTTGGGTGGACACATTTCTGACCATGCTGCGGTCTAAGGAAGGTTCAGCATGGCCATCAGAGCTCTTGAGGCAAAGAAGGCAACCAGAAGAGCCCCACGTCTCCCAGGAATGGGTCTGCCTTAGTATCCCTGCTGTGCTCAGGGAAGTCTAGCCTCAGCATAAACATGGTGATAGATTTCACACTGCCGTTGGTCAGTTTTACTTTCTGTAATTGGAGGTCTGTGGGACACATCCTTAGGGTCACCACAGATGCCACTGTGACTCCCATTTTACGGAATCGGCAGAATTCCAGAAAAATTCCAGGGTCTGCCTGAAGTCGCAAGGCAGGATGAAAATCCACCTTTTGACTCTCTTTCAGGCTTCTTAAGTGATACAGATCCTAAATCCAGAGGTGAAGGTGGATGGATTCTTAGGGCATTTGGATGTAACATCCCAGGATACAGGTAAGCAGGGTCAAGAGCTACCTGTCCTTGGGGTCTGTAATGAGATCACCCTTTTTACAGAGGTTGTTCAGGGAAATCCCCAGGGCCACTAGCGTGTCACTATTTCTCTGACAGGGTATTATGAACTTCACAGAAACTTCTTAAACCAAATTGAATTTTTTCATTTATCATAAAGAAAGAAATTCTGGACTTTTAAAGTGGGAAAGTTAAAGGTTCATAAAATCACAGAGACCTGGAATCCCTGCTCCAAGCCAGGAGGTTGGGCTGTGAGAATCATTTCATTCTTCCCTGTTACAGGATTATGGTAAAGCTCCAATATGACCTTTGCCTAGGTTGTTTGAGTAAAGGGCTACCGAGTCTGAAGGAACAGAGTGAACTATTTGGGAAAAGGGGACCCTCTCAAGAGCCCTCAATCTCAGCCTCTTCCACTTAGTATATGAAATCTTGATCCTACCACAACCAATTCAGAAAATTAAAAAGAATAATTTTAAAAAGGAGGATCCAAAATTAGATTTCAACTATGAAAAAAAGTGCATGAAAGGAAATAGACCACTATACCAAAATATTGACTTGGTTATCAAGATAGTCTTGTAGATGGACCATATTTGTTTTCCTTTTTCCACAAACGGGCATGTATCTTTAAAAATAAATTTCTTGGGGTTCCAGTTCTGAGTAAGATAGAGTAAGCATCATCTGTCCTTCCCCCAAATGCAACTAAAAACGCTGGACCGAATGGAGCAGCTCTCTGAGGACTCGGAAAACGAAATGGTAGCAGGTGGTTTGGGGAAGGGAATCAGAACTTGAAGTATAAACAATCTGGCGGTGAGCTTCCTGTTTTGTTTTTTTGTTCCTGTATCTCCTGGCCTGGTCTCAAAGTGTGCCTCCTGGAACTGTGCACTGGGCATGGAAGAAAAAACTCCAAGAAGCCCTGTCTTCCTGGTCTGAGGAGTAGAAAGGAGGGCCCCTTAAGGACAAAGTAAGGGAAATCTTTTTTTTTTTTTTTTCCCCTTTTCTCTTCTTTTGCCCTGCCTGCAGGCAAACCTCATGCTCAAGTTAAAACTCAGGGCAGCAGCAAAGTCAATGGCAATGGCAGCTGGGAAATCACCTAAAATTCTGAGGGGAATCCTCTCAGACCAAAAGAACTGTGGCCTGAAAAGAGTGTATGGAGGGAGGGAGTGTGGGGCAGGGGATGGAATTCCTAATGCCTTTTCTCTCTTCATCCTGTCACTTGGCTCCAGAGCAGACCCAGTCGCAGAATGTGTGCAGCAGAGCAGGGAGACCAAAAGCCCTGATTTCCAGCTGGAGGACCTGGGAATGGGTGGCCTTGAACACTCGAAAATGTGGGGGAGATCACGGAGAGGGGGGAGCTGGAGAAATGGATCCTATAAAGTTGCATACAAGCTGCTAGGCTCCATGCATGGATCTGACTCTAAACAGTAGTCCAATGACTTTCAGAACTAAACTAGGTAGACCACCCATTTCTGCCTGCCCCCTGGGTGGCACAGACTTAGGACAGATCTAAAATACATTGCCAAAGTTTTGAAAATTGAACTGACGTTGGAACTATGGCCCTTTTAAAGACTTTTTTTTTTGAAGATTTTATTTATTTATTCATGAGAGACAGAGATTGAGAGTGAGAGGCAGGCAGAGGGAGAAGCAGGCTCCCCACAGAGAAGGGAGCCCGATTCGGGACTTGATCCCAGGACCCCAGGATTACGACCAGAGCCAAAGGCAGAAGCTTAACTGACTGAGCCACCCAGGTGCCAGGAACCATGGCCCTTTCAAAACACAAAATTCAGCTGTGTAGCTTTTATTTAATTTAAAAATTTTTTTTATTTTTAAAGATTTTATTTATTTGAGAGCGAGCACAAGAAGCACAAGCAGGGGGAGTGGGAGAGGGAGAAGTAGGCTTCCCGAAGAGCAGGGAGCCTGATGCGGGGCTCGATCCCAGGACCCTAGGATCATGACCTGAGCCGAAGGCAGACTCCCAAAGACTGAGCTACCCAGGTGCCCCTGAGGTTATGGACTTTAAAATCAGGATTATTTGGATTATTGGGCAGGCCTAATCTAATCACATGAATCCTTATAAGCAAGAATTTTCTCTGGCTGGATTCAGAGAGATGCAACAGAAGGAAAAGTCAGAGGTATTCAAAGTGTGAGAGGGACTCAACCCCCTGGATAGCATTTGAAGGAATGTAGGCAGTTTCTAAGAGAAAAGACCAGCCTTCAGCTGATAGTAAGGAAATGGGGTCCTTTGTCCTATAACTACAAGGAACTGAATTCAGTCAACAACCTCAATAAGCTTGGAAGCAGAATCCTCCCCAGAGCCTCCAGTAAAAAAAAAAACAAAACCAAAAAAAACCGCATGTGATTTCAGTCTTATGAAACATTTGATTTTGGCCTGTGAGAACCTAAGCAAAAGATTCAGTCAAGCCCAACCAGACTTCTGCCCTACAGAAATTGTGAAATATTAATAGGTATTGTTTTTAGCCACTGAGTTTATAGTAATTTGTTATAGCAGCAAAAGAAAACTAATACATTATCCATTGAACATCAGAGGGAAGTGGTTAAGATGTTAATTCTAAATAGATTCTGAAAAGTTAAGTATGTATATTCTCTAGTGTAACCTCTAAAAAAACTATATAAAATTAAAATGGAATACTTTAAAAATATTCAATAATCCAAAAGAAGGCAGGAAAAGGGAAACAAATGGAAAACAGAGGACAAACAGAAAACAAAATGGTAGACCTAAATCCAAATACTGATAATTTTGGTCTAAACACACTAGTTAAAAAACAGATTAGATATGTAAAAAAAGCCCCAACTATATGGTGTCTACAAGAAACCCATTTTCTTTTTTTTTTTTTTAAAGATTTTATTTATTTATTTATTTATTTGAGAGAGAGAAAGAGACAGTGAGAGAGCACACAAGCAGGGTGGAGTGGCAGAGGCAGAGGGAGAAGCAGGCTCAGCAGGGAGCCTGATGTGGGGCTCTATTCCAGGACCCTGGGATCATGACCCAGGCCAAAGACAGATACTTAACCGACTGAGCCACCCAGGGGCCCCAAGAAACCCATTTTCAATCTAACAATATAGTAGGTTCAAAGTAAAAGGATATAAAAAGATATATCATGCAAATACTACTTAAAACAAAGCTAGAGTGGCTATAGTCATATCAGACAAAGTAGACTTCAAAAAATTAAGAAGGGTAAAGAGACATTGCATATTGAAAAAAAGGTCAATTTACCATAAAGACACAACAATCCTAAATATGTATGTACCTAACAACAAAGCTTCAAAATACATGTAACAAAAATTAATAGAATTGAAAGGAGGTGTAGGCAAATCCACAATTTTAGTTAAATACTTCCAACACTCTTCTCTTTGGGACGCCTCGGTGGCTCAGTAGGTTAAGCGTCTGCCTTTGGCTCAGGTCGTGATCCCAGGGTCCTGGGATCGAGTCCCATGTTAGGTTCCATGCTCAGGAGGGAGCCTGCTTCTCCCTCTGCCTGCCGCTCCCCCTGCTTGTGCTCTCTCTCTCTCTGGAAAAAAAAAAAAATCCAACACTCTTCTCTTAGTAATCAATAGAACATGTAAACAGAAAATCAGGGTGAGTAGAATTGAAATCACCATCAATCATCATCAATCAATAAGCTGACATTTATTGACCACTCTATCCAAAATAATGTTTTTTTCCTCAAGTGCACATGAAACGTTCACCAAGATAAGCCACATCCTACATGGTAAAGTAAACATTAACTAATTTAAAAGAAGTAAAATCATACAACTTATGTCCTCTGATCATGATGGAATTAAATAGAAACCAATAACAGAGAAATGGTGGTAAAATTGCCAATACTTAGAAATTAAACTACACACTTCTAAACAATACATGGGTAAAGGAGAACATTTCAAGAGAAATTAGAAAATATTTTGAAGTGAACAAAAATGAAAATGCAGCATATCAAAATTGGTGAGATGCAGGTCTGAAATAAAGTTTCTACCTTATGAAATTAGAAAAGACAAGATAAATTTCAAACAAGCAGAACTGCAGAAATAATAAAGAATAGAAATCAATGAAGTAGGAAAGGGAAGAACAATAGAGAAAATAAAAAACAAGGGAAGTAGTTGTTTTAAAAGATTTTAAATATTGATAAACCTCTAGCTAGACTAACAAAGAAATAAAGAGAGAAGACAAATTATCAGCATGAGGAATGAAAAGGTGATATCTCTGTGGACCCTGCAGATAATAAAGATAATAAGGAATACTATAAATAAGTCTATGTGCATAAATTTGACAACTTGGATGAAATGGAGCTATTCCTGAAAAATCACAAACTACCAAAACTCACCCAAGATGAAATAGATAACTTGAATAGTCCTTTAACTATTAAAAGAATTGAATTCATTGTTAAATTCTTCTGAAAAAGAAGTCTCCAGGTCCTGATGGTTTCACTGGTGAATTCTACCAAACATTTAAAGAAGAAATAACACCAATTCACACATCTCTTTCAGTAAATAGAAGGGGAGAAAATACTTTTCTACTCTTCCCTAACTTCCTTAACTTAATACAGGGCTTCCTTAACTACAAAAAGCCTATAGCTAACATCATAATTAATGGTAAAAGACAACACTTTCTAAGATCAGGAATAAAGCAAGAATGTCTATTTTCATCCCTCATATTCATCATCATACTGGAAGTCATAGCCAGTGAAATAAAATAATAAATCAAAGATATTCAGATTGGAAAGGAAGAAATAAAACTATTTTTATTCGCACATGACAAGATTGTCTATATGTAGATTGCCAAGGAATCTACAAAAATGCTCTTAGCAAGGTCACAGGATACAAAGTCAACACACAAAAATCAATTGTATTTCTATATAGTACCAACAATGCACAATTGGAAACCAACATTAAAAAAATTTTTTTTTCACAATGCTCTCCCTCAAATGAAATACTTAGGTATAAATACAGTAAAATATGTAAGATTTGTATGCTGAAAACCACAAAACACTGATGAAAGACATCAAAGACCTAACTCAATGGGGAGACATACTATATTCATGGATTGGAAGATTCAACAAAGTAGAGATGGCAATTCTTCCCCAAATTGGCCAAAAGATTTAATACACTTTGAATTGAAATCCTAGTAGGAGTTTGTTGATACAGACAAGTTGGTTCTAAAATTTATATGAAAGGCAAAGAAAGTAGAATAACCCAAACAATTTTTTAAAAAAGAAAACTGGAGGACTCACTATCTGACTTTAAAACTTACTACAAAGCTACAGTAATCAAGATAGTGTGGTATTGGTGAAGAGAAAGACGCATATATCACACAGAATAAAGAGTCCAAAACAGACCTACACAAAGGAGCAAAGACAGCTCAATAAAGGACAGTCTTCAACAAATGTAGTTGAAACCATTAGACATTGATATGAAAAAATATGAACCTCAAACTAATCCTCATACCTTATACCAAAGGATCATAAAAATAAGTGAAAAATTTAGACCCTCAAACTTTAACATTGGAGAAAATCTTTGTGATCTGGGGTTAGGCAAAGAGTTCTTAGACATGACACCAAAACAACAGTCCATAAGAGGAAAAACTGGCAAGTAGCACTTCATCAAAATTAAAAACTTTGCTCTGTAAAAGATACTTCTAAGAGAAATGAAAAGACAAGCTAGACTGGGAAAAAATATTTACAAATCCTTATCTGACAAAGGACTTGTATCCAGAATATATGAAGTATTCTCAACACTCAAGAGTGAGAAAACAGCCCACTTTTAAGATGGGCAAAAGAGTTGAATAGACATTTCACCAAAGAGGGTATGCGGAAGGCAATGAAGCACACAAAAGATGCTCAACATCATTAACCATTAGGAAAATGCAAATTAAAACCACAATGAGCTAATACCACACACCTATCAGAATGGTTAAAATAAAAAATATTGGCAGTACCAAATACTAGTGAGAAAGGGGATCTCTCATAGTGGAATGCAAAACAGTATAGCCACTCTGGAAGTCTGGTAGTTTTTTTATAAAGTTAAACATAACCTTTACCATATAACCGACCGATCCCACTTTCTAGGTATACACCCTAGATAAATGAAAACTTATGTTCACATAAAAACCTATATACAAATGTTTGTAGCAGTTTTTTTTTTTTTTTTTAAGATTTTATTTATTTATTTGAGAGAGAGGGAATGAGAGAGAGCACATGAGCGGGGTTAGGGTCAGAGGGAGAAGCAGACTCCCTGCTGAGCAGGGAGCCCGATGCGGGACTTGATCCCAGGACTCCAGGATCATGACCTGAGCTGAAGGCAGTCGCTTAACCAACTGAGCCACCCAGGCGCCCCTGTTTGTAGCAGTTTTATTCAAAATTGCCCCAAACTGGAAACAACCCAAATATCCTTCAATGGGTGAATATTAAAACAAACTGTGGTCATCCATACAATGGAACACTACTTAGCTATAAAAAGTAACACATAATGAATCTCAAAGACATACTGAAAGAAGCCAGTCTCCAGAGGTTACATCCTCTATGATGCTATGTATGTGACATTCTAGAAAAGGCAAATCAAAGGAACAGTGAACAGATTGGTATGTGCCAGAGGCTGGGGTGGGGCAAAGGTCTGAATACAAAGGGGTGGCATAAGAGAATTTTGTGGGTGATGGAACTGCTCTGTGTCCCGACTGCAGAGGTAGTTACACAAATGTGTTAAAACATAACTGTACACACAAAAAATTAATTTTGTGGTATGTTAATTCAAAATTTTTAAAAATGAAGATAAAATATGTCCCAATCAATTTCTCTTTAAAAAGGTTATGAAAGAAATTTTCCATCTGGGTTTCTTCCAGAAAGGCTGCTTTGTGGGGGCTCTGCTACACCAGCCCTGGTGTTTGTGGGTCTGTTTATCCCATCTGTAAAATGAGAAGTCAGTCTAAAGCAGGGCTTTTCCTTCTCCCCTGCACCCTAAAATTACACCCCTGGGCATGCCCTTTATGGAAGTGGGGGTAGGGTAGTTTGGAGGGAGAAGGCATTTGGCTTCCACTGGGCTCTGGACTCACAGAGCAGTTGTGCTTTTGTCTGTCTCATATATTGTTCTTCTGAAAACCTCTGGATTAGAACAGTTGGTCTTGAGTCAGATCCTCAGACCCCTGGGGGGTTTGAACAATCCTGGATTTCAGGGCCTATAGGTGGGGCCCACTCATTTGTCCCTGTGGACCCCAGTGGTTAGCATTGGCGTTAATGGTCAGCAATCTAAACAAGGCCTTTTGGGGGGAAGCTGGAAGTGTGCTCCTTGCTTTAGGACCCCCAGTCACACGTGGATTCAACACAATGGAAACTCTGAAAAGGCTACAAAGTCTAGGCCTCTTCTAAGGTAGGGTCTAAAAGGCCTCAAACTACTTTTTTCCCCACAGGATGACATTTTGGAAGAGCACTTTGTAAACAGTGAAGGGCTATGCACAGATGCGGGAAATGTCATCATGAGGATGACCACGCTGACCCAGACCAGCAGGGTCAAAGCATCATTCAGGATGAAAGTTGCTACCATAAGCACCTACCACGTGCCAGGCGCCGTGTTAAGGGATCGTTGACTCTCCATGACAATGCTGTGAGGAAGGGGCTGTCATTGCTTGGACAGATGAGAAAGCTGAGGTGCCAAGAGGTCCCAATCACATGCGGGAGGAGGTGACAAGGCTAGGTTCTGGTCTATAGCTCTGGCCTTTCAAATCGAGACCTGTGAGAGGAACCTCTGAAGCCTGATATCAGGCCTGCTCTCCACATGTGCCCCTAAGAAGGAAACTCATGCCACCTTTCGTCAAGGCTGGCGGGGGGCTGCCAAGGGTTCTTTGAGACCTTGCCATTTACAAAGGCACTCAAAATCAAAAATATCTTTAAAAAATTTTATACTGTGGAATGCTTTCTTTGAAAACGATGCCATGTGTAAATCAAATGCAGAAAACCAGAGATGGGCCCCCGTGGGTCGAAGATGGAAGCAGGGTTGGCCTGGGCCCCCAGGACTCCCGAGGCACCACCTGAAGGCCACTTACCTAGTGGGTCAGCGCACTTACTGTGAACAGCACAGGAGGTGCCATGATGCTTAAGGCTCTGGCTTCAGGTTTGAAAGAATTGAGTGGAACTGTGGCTGACTCATTCCTAGGTTAGTTGATCTAGGGGAGGGCAGCAGGATTGCAGGCTTGCCAAACGCTTTAGGTGCTAGTCCATTTGACCTGGGCACTGGCCTCACTCTCCCCACTGGCCAGCAGCCATGACCTGTCACTTAGAAGGGTAGGAAATTTTTCTGTACCATTGTACAGTTAGTGAATTTAATCTTTGAAGATACGGATAATAAGGTTAAAAGCTACAGCACCTTTCCTTTTTCTCTGACCCTTATAAAAGGCATCATCTGTTTTTTCTGTATCAGCAAAAGTGGAACGTTTTAAGTTCAGATCTTGGTGGAGGGTCACCAGCAGATCTGCACCTCTGACCTGGGTGCAGGGGTGCGGGGGGTGCTGGCAGGCTCACAGTGGAATCATCAAATGGACCTCCTTCTCGTAGATGTCAGGGATCACTCCCATAGGGGAGTTGACCATGTGCACGGTGTTCTTGCCAAACAGCTGGAATTCATAGTGGATGAGCTGCTCCCAAAAGCCATTGTTGGGTCGGATGATGGGCCGGCATGACTTGGTCCACGTGTGGGCGTCCAGCAGGGACATGGCATGGTACTTCATGAGGTAGGCCAGGCAGAGGGCAGCTGAGCGGCTCACCCCAGCAGCGCAGTGCAGCAGCGTGCGGCCCTGCTTCAGCTCTACACTGTGGATGTGGTCCGCAATGGGGTCAAAGAAGTCACAGAGACGCGAGATGGGTGTGTCGGCCACAGGCACCTGTACGTACTGGATGTCCTCGTATAAGGTATTTACCACTTCCACCGACACGTTGATGACCGTGGTGATCTGGTTGCTGGAGAGCATGAGCTTGTTGTTGGCGGCCACCCCATTGCTGACATACAGGCTGCTGGTGATCTGTGAGAGGCCACTGACCGAGGGCTGCTGGAACTGAACCGGAAACGTACACAGGGGTGCTGTCATCAGGCCAGTGGGTCAGCGGCCAGTGAGGCACAAGGGCTACATCTTTCTGTTGGGCTGTGCCGTGGAAAACTGCAAGGAGGAAGAGAATGCTTAGAGAGCAGGAGCCCAGCTGGGCCAGAGAGCCAACCCCAGGGGATTTCTGGGAAGTGGATGGGTGGGTCTATAACAGGATCCCCAGGGCGGTCCTCTGACCATCACAGCAGAACTACCCAGAGAACTTATCTCCAACTCTGGAAGTCAAGGCCTCCCTTGGGGGGCTCCACATCTCTAGCTGGGCAGGCGGACTTGTGTCCATCAGCTGCGCCCTGGCCTCTCTGTCTAGGTTCACACAGCCACTTGCCCAGTCTTGCTTCTGTTCCGACTTTATGCTCAAATCATGAGACTCTGAAGCAGCGACATGAGGAGTCACTGGTGGTATAAGAGAGAGGAGGGTCTCAGCTTCCCCCCTCCAAGAAACCCTCTAAAGAGACAGAATGTGCCCCTGTGAAAGTGACATCAATTACAGAGTCCTACATCATTAACCAAGCTCCTGCAATTGGCCTCTAAGGAGGGCACCTAGGGAAGAAGGCAGCTGGAAGCTTCCTGGAGGCCAGGATGGGGGGCACTACAGCAGCTCCCAGAGAAGCAGAGGGGCCTCAGGTAGACAAGCTATACCAGCATGATGCTGTGCGCAGCAGGGTTGTGGCAAGCACCCCAGCAAGGGCCACGCCCCTGCTTTGTCCTAAGAAATCCCAGGTCCTTCACTCTCTCAGTCTTGCACAAAGCTGCAAAAGTAGCACATTTTCACATGTTCCACTGAAACAGGAGTATTCGGATTTAGAGCACACTTCTCAAGGCCAAATGGCAGTTGTCATCAGGCAGAGACAAATGAGGAGCAGAGTTCTGTTCCCCTGCTTAATATATTTCACTGGCTGCCCACTGTCAGGATGAGATGGAGCCCCTTAGCTTGACTGTCAAGGCCATTTGTGGTCTGGCTCCTGCCTATCTCTAGCCTCTTTTGCTCCATCCTGAAAGGCCTTGGCTAGGCTGAGCCATTGCAGTGCCATATGGATACCTGGTCCTCCCTGGCCCAGGGCCTTTGCCTTTGCTGTTCTCTTGGCCCAGAACCCTCTTTCCCTACAAGCCTATCAGATCCTGATCTGTTCCATTCAGCAGAGGACTTGGGATCTTAGCTAAGGGTCACTTCCTGAGGGAAACCCCTTGGAACCATACCCTTCCCCCAGGTTTAATCAAGTCCCTGCTCCAGGCTTTCTAAGCCCTATGTGATCTTCTTCCTACCACTTCCTAAAGATGTGGTTTTGTTTTGATTTGTCCGTGGTTCTACTGGGATTCACTGTAACTATCTTTACTCCTACTGTATCACCAATGCTAAGTTCTCTGTCCATATAAGTAAGTGCTTGATAAATATTTGTTGAATGAGGAATGGCTCCAACAGCCACAACTCTGTCATCTCAGAGATCTTCTGGAAAGGATGAGTTTTCTGGCCTTGTTTGTCTAGAATTGGGGGGATGAACTTGGTGGAGGTGAGGGTGGTTCCTAAGTTACTGGAGAGGAAGGACAAAGGCTACCTAGGAAATCCTGCCAGCTAATGCCCCAGAGTCAAATGCATCAGGCTCACCCCAGGAAGGCCAGATGGGGCTGTCTGTTCTAAAGGTCATGTGGGGGCAGAGAGAAAGCTCCCCAAAACTCAGTTGAAAGCCTAAATGCTAAGGGATGTTCCATCACCCAAACTGATGGATCCTTATCACCCGAAAACCCAGAGAAAAGTGAACTGAGGGTCTCCAAAATTAGTGCCCAGTGGGCAACAGGAATAGAGGAAACTGCTATTCATCACAGTGACAATGAGTGTGCAGAGAAGACTTCTCTTGATGGTGAGGGTAGGGATGGGAGGAGAGACTTTTTCATGCTAGTCAAGAGATATTTATCAGGCTTTGTATTAGGTGCTCGGGGTATTGAAATGTACAAGACAGTCACAGAGCTCAAAGTCTAGTGGGGGAGACAGACATTAAATAGGCAATTATAGGCACAACAGGGCTGGAAAATAGGGATAACAATGCCTGTCTTATAAGGATCTTCTGAGGATGAAATGAGGTAACCCCAGGTAAAGTGTTCAACAACGGAGCCTGACACAGAGTAAGCCCTCTATAAATGGTAACTATTCTTGCCGCTGTTAGGGACGGTGAAATGTAGGGCTTTATGGGAGTGAAGAATAAAGAGGTTTATTTCAGGCTCGGAGCGAGGGAGTTGCAAAGATCGCCTCAAGAAATGACACAAAGATCTGAAGAACATTTAGCGTGAGGGGGAGCGTGGTGGTGATTAGTTTCACCATTTTATGGCCTACAAAGCCTTAGGCTTCCTTCATCTGGTTCGGTCTTCAAGCCAACATAATAGGTGTCTGTAGTTAATATCTCCATTTTCACACGGAAAAGTGAAGTAGAGAGGAGAAAAGGACCTGCCTAGGGTCACGAAGCAAGGTCCGAAAACTGGTCTTTCTGGTCTCATCACGTGTGGGAACAGTCGGCAAACACCGGGGGCGTTTATTAATACTGGTTTATAAGCGTGGGACGAAGTCCGCGGCTTGACAAGAGCAAAGAGCCACTTTCAGGGGTGAGCCTCCTAGGTTTTCTGGGGGAGTTGACGTTGGAATGGGCTCCCTCGCCTCCTGGATGTTAAGAGCCCCCACAGTCTTACCTCTCTCCCGTGGGCGGGAGGGCAGGTTCGTTCAGGAAGCAATCGCGCCCGAAGCCTCGGGTGAGGGTCTCGGGGAGAGAGAAGATCCGTCACCATCCGGGAGCCACAATCCCCCGCTGCCCCGCGCTCTGGTTTCCATAGCAATGGTCCCTCCTCGCGGTGAGGAATCCGCAGCGCCGGGTCTTCGGAGAAACCCCGGGCTCGCTTCGGTTCCCTAGAGCTGCCCCGCCCGGCCCTACCCGGTTACCCGCCCCGCGATCACGCGGGGGCCACATGAGTCCTAGCGGAGAGGTAGTGTCAGCTCAGCGCGCCGCAGCCCGCTCCCTCTCGCCCGGCTCGTCTCCACGGCAACGCGGCGGGCTGCACCACGGCGGCCGACGAGGGACAATCCTGCCGCGTCCTCAGCCTCCTAGACTCCGCGCATACGTCCCGCCCCAAGGTCCCACCTTCCGTCACGCGTCGCCCGGGCAACGCGCTTTGCTCTGCGCGCCGCGTCGGCGCAGGGATTCACTCGGCCTCCGCGCGCTCGCCCTCCTCTGCCTCCCGCTGCCGAGTCGTTCTGGAGCATGGTAGACTCGGCTGCCCAGCAGTCCAGGCCCTCGGTCACATGGGACCTGGGCTCGCCATCGGTTTTTTCGGCCTCCCAGGCGACTACCAGTTCCGGCACCAACCGGACCCGGGCCTCCCCGCACGTTAGATTCGGCAGCCAACCCGAAATCCACGTGGGGACCCACCCGCAGATCTGCTTCCTGCGGCCGCGGACCGCGCAGCCCCTGGTGCTCTTCAGGTGCAGCCCGGATGCCCAGGGTTATTCTCAGACCCCCGCTCCTCCAGCGACCCTTGGGACCTCGGCCGTGGCTCTCCCAGAGCCCCGAGCCCGTCAAACCCCAAGAGAGCCTGGATTTCTCACAGATGCGAGCCCCACCCAGCTCCTTCCCAGGCCAGCACCTCGCATCCCCAGGAGCTCGGGAGTCCAAACGCCCTCAGCCTGGACTCCCAGGAGAAGCTGGAATTCCCATCTCCCACCTGCGTGTCTTCCGAATCTCCCCGGCTCTTTAGTCTCCCAGGCTTGAGATCGTATAGCCCCGGGGTCCCCAGCGCCCTTTGGCCCAGCCTTGAACTTCCTTAGAGCCTAGCGAGGCTCAGGTCCCTTCAGGCCTGACACCTCTCTCCTCAGCCTCTACGTTCCCCAGTAGTCCTGGGAAAGCCCCTCAGCTCAGCCCGAGCCGCACAGACCCCAACTTCCCCTCCCTCCCTTCCATTCCACAGCCCTGGCAGCATCCTCTAGGCCCCCACAGAGGCCTTGCGTTGGAAAACAATTTGGTTCAAAATGACCGTTTATTACTTGAAAGGGGATATTTACAGTCTCTGTTCCCCCCACCTTTTTAAACTTTTCCAGGAAATATTGGTAAATTTGGCACACCACTGAGTAGGCGAAGAGCGTTTTATGTGTCTTTAAATATTTTACTTTTTTTTTTTTTAACAGGATATGGGAGACGTTTTTATGTGAGCATCTCCTTTTTTGTATGTCAGCCTTTTTATTTTCATGCCTTTGTTGTCAGAAAAATGTAAACGGGAGACTGGGAACATTTGTTTATACTAGTCTATAAATGTAAAAACATTCATAAAACCATAGTTCCAGACTGGCTGAAAATGAATTAGAAATTTTTTTTTAGTCCTTCAAAATGCTTTAACCTTTAAATATTGTCTTTTTTGTCCTATCAAAGTAGTGTACACTTATAGGAAAATCAGACAAGCAAGCAAAATGAATGGCCACAGACAATTACTGTTAACATTTTGGTGTATATTCTTCCAGATCCATTCATATATAAGTACTACAACATGGTGATTCAATTTTGGGGGGAAAAATTTATCACAAGAAATTTCACTATTGTGTTACCTACTCCCCCCACCCCCCCACCTAATACACTATGGATATCTGTTTTATTCATGACTGCATAGTATTTTATTGTATGGCCTAATCAGAATTTATTCCATTGCTTCTCTATTGTACACTTAATTTACACATTTTAGGAAGAAAATATGAACAATTATTTTGAAATGGGCAAAAACATTTAGAGGTACATATTTGCAAAACCACTTCATAGTGTAAGTAAATTATCAAAAAGCAAAAACCTGGCATTATGCATTCTTGACCAATTCTTCATTTTGGCCAAATTTTTATCTCTAGTTTCACCTGGAGCACCTGGCTCCAGTCCATAACCCCCAACCACCAACCCCTCCCATCCCATCTTCTTCCTCTCATCTTAGGAAGTCTCCTCAAATCTTTTTCCACCACAAACTTCCTTCACTTTTCTAGACTTTTTCCAAACCCTCTTCCCTTAGAATTCCTTCTTCCCTTAGAAGTCCCCTGTTAACCAGCCTAACCTCCAGTCCTCTTTTTCCCTGCTTCCTCTGATCCCTCCCCCTGCCAATCTTTCTTAGACCTAGGCTCTGGAGCAAGTTCTCCCCACTTCACCCGCCTCAAATTCATCCCTCTGAACCCTACCCTACAACTTTTGCTCTTCTCTAAGACGCCCACCTCCCATCTCATCCTATTTTTTCTCCTTAAGATGGTTGCTTCTGAGGACAGTTTTGAGTCCTATTCACACTTTGGGCCTTTCCACATCTTTCTCAGGATGACTTTTCTTTTCAGCATCCAGAAAATACCCATTTAGTGCACATTTTCTGCAAGAGGAAGCCTGGGCCTACTCCCTTGCTCCTCCGAAAATTATGGCAGCTGTGCCTCTCCTAAGAATCCTGGGGAAGCCTCAGTCACTCCCCTAGGACCCCATCAAATCAGTCCCTGTCCTAGCCCTGGCCCCAGCCATCTCACCCTGTGCCACTTTTCCCTCCCACTTCCAGCTTAATGAATTCCAGTGAAGCAGTGGCGAAAAAATTTTTACCCAAGAGCAACTTATCCCGGGTGATTATTCGTGACAATCTCAGTGCACAACGGATCTATGAGATGGAGGTAAAGTCATCAAAAGCTTTTGCATTAGAGGGTGTTAGTGGCTTGACCCATGTTCACTTCACCCTCACCAATAGCCTGGGTGGGGGCGGGTGGGGGGGAATCACAGATTTTAGAGGTGATCAAGGTGCTCTAAAGCAAGTCTCATTTTACAGAGGAGGCAACTGAGATTTGAGGTTACTGGTTTGCCCCAGATGTCACAGCTATTGCTGGGCCGAGGGAGCCAAGGAGAAGGATTCCATATTTTTTGGTTCTTGTGGCATTTTTCCCCCTCCAGTCATGTTATTTCTCTAGAGGATCCATGAATGGATTCCTACTGTCTCCTGTAGAAAGAAATCTTGGGTCTTGGAGTTTGAAATGGCATCAATACTCTTTGGTCTGTTTTTCCCTTTACCTGGAGGAGCACTGAGGCCCTTCCCCTTTCTGCTTATGGACAAGTAGGGTTGGACCTGCTTCCCCAAAATCCATAGAAGAAGGGGAGGGAAAACAGTGTTGTCACCACACAGACTCAATTTAATTCATTAAATGCATCATTAGGGGCTGCTTAGGATAGGCACTGTGTTGGGCACTAGGAAGAGGCTGGTGAACACGATGGACTGTGATAATGTATTCATTTCTTCAAGTGGAGCAGAAATCCCAGAGTTGAATTGCTGTCCCCTTCTTTTTTTTTTTTTTAAGATTTCATTTATTTATTTGACAGAGAGAGATAGCGAGAGCAGGAACACAAGCAGGGGAAGTGGGAGAGGGAGAAGCAGGCTTCCTGCTGAGCAGGGAGCCCGATGCGGGGCTCGATCCCAGGACCCTGGGATCATGACCTGAGCCGAAGGCAGACGCTTAATGACTGAGCCACCCAGGCGCCTGAATTGCTGTCCCCTTCTTGACTCTGTTGACTTCCCTCCATGTTCCAGGGCCAAATCTAGACGGGCCTATGAGATTCTGACATTAAAAAGAGTAGGAGAGGTTCAAGAGATGAAGCTAAATCCTCTTAAAGGCCAAAGAGACCAAAAGAAGAGCAGGGGTCTGGGTGTTTCTCTCTCTGCTAAACTTCAGCGGCACAGTGTAGTGGAAAGAGGGTGGACTTGGCAATGGACAAGCCAGCTTTTTGTGACCTCAGGGAATGACATTTCCTCCATGACTCCCTTTTCTCATTTGTAAAATAGGATCTATTAGGATCCTCTCAGTTGCTGGTGACTCAAACTGAACTTGAACTAGTACAAGTAAAATAAAGAACAATCTGTTTACATAATCAAGGATGGGTAGGGCAGGGTCACCAATGTTTGGGATGAGAGGAGTCAGGGACTCCAGTACCATTGGATGTGTCTTCCACTTTACTTTTTCATCTCTTTTCTGTGTCTTTGTGCATGTTGGCATAATCATCAGGCTGGCTGTGCCTGGTGAGCATGGCCAAGGAAAGCCTGGCCCGTAGCCTACAAAGGAAATGGGGTGCTTCCACTGTTGCTCACATTAGACAAATCCTGGGGAAACTCCGGTTGGCCCAGGGTGTGTCACTGGCCCATCCTTGCCTTAGTCAGTGTGACCAGGTGGTGTGGGCTGTTTTGACTGGCCCAGGATGGGTTGGGGGCCAATTTCTATCACCAGCAGGGGGAGGGGATGTTCTATCTCTGGCAAGCAAGGTGAGGATCCGTGAGATGCTGTAACTGGAGACTCTCCTGAGGTGCTTTATATGTATCAGAGGGCTGTGCCACCCTCCAGACATCCAGAAGTTTTCCTTTTAAAGCTGTATTGAGCCCTTATGTGCTTTAGGTATTGAACATCCATTATGTATTATGTATTATTAATAGTTCAGGAAATTGAGGCTCAGAGAGACAGAGTAACTTCACTAAGGTCATCCAGTGCATCATCGTAGAGTTGTAAACCTGGGTCTGACTGGCATCTTCCCTTCAGGATGAAGACTGTCTTCTCCTTATTTGTAGACCTGGTGACTTGCTAAGGTCCCAGCTTGTAGGAGCTCAGTGGATGTGAGGCCTGAGTGGCAGCATGGAGGTGTTTCTCTCTCCCCCTCCACCCCGCCCCTTCCCCCAAAGTGCTCACGTGAAGAGAAGAGGCAGCTTTGGCTAGCCACTGGTTTCTCAGGACCTTGACAAGAACAGCTAAGACCTTGTGTCTTGGGAATCATCTGAGCACACTCTGAGAACACACCCACCCTCCCGCTTCATCCCTTGTTCCCAGGATCCACTTAGGTTCTTGGCTCATCCCTTGTTCCCCTTGCACAATGATCATGGCAACACTGGCCTTAAATGGAGCTCTCCTTTGCCTACGTTGTGCTGGGTTTTGAGACACTGTCAG